GGGCGGACAAGCAAATCTTTAAGGTGGTGCTCCTAATTTCGGGGCATAAATTAATATTCACGGAAATATTAATTTTCATAACTGTATTAAAATTTTACGTAGCCTAGATCTGCTACAATTTACTTCAACATGCTGATTTTGATTCAGGGACCGAACCATCCAGAAGTAGGTACACATGTCCACTAATACAGAAAAAAGAGTGGTGTGATTTGTGCCTGGTCTGGGCTGCTACGTCACCCCTCTTGTTACCGTTCTCGGGAGAGAAGAGGAAGACAAAGACATTCCTGTGATCCCAAGAATATGGGCACTGTATTAATACTGACGTGAATTGATTTTATTTGCCTTTCTCATTTCCTGTTATAAGTATATGTACGCATAGGGAGAAGTGTATCTGTCATAATGATCAAAGATGTAATCTTTGATCTAGATTAACAGTCTACTACTTCAGATACTTATTGCAAAGTGGATAATTCTATTATTCACACAATATGTGTTTAGTGTCTTTCAGAAACTGATGAGGCCAAGTTTTCAAACATGGGAGGTTCAAACTGCATCAAACAAAATACCTTTCTTGTGATATCGGGGTTTATGCTAGATTCTTATTACTGAAGATAATTTAGTATAAGCTTTAGATCACAAAGGCTCTCCATTCAATACTCATGATTTGGAAACGTAAATATTTCACTCATACTTATCTAAATAACCTCTCAGTAGCTGAACAGTGCATAAAAGTGATCTCACCGGCCAATGCTAAAGTTATCCACTTATCGGATCACTCTGGTCCTCAATGATATATCAATTATTCATTGCTGGATTCCTAACATGGCCGCATTTATCTATTCATCTGTTTGTCTAGTAGTTATTAGTTGTGTGTGTAATAAATGTTTCTCGTATAAAGTCGTTGCTCTTCGTTTTATGTGATTTACTTTCAGTCAATTTACGTACACATTCCCTTTTACCTCACAAAGCTAATTTGTGCACTACCTCTTGACTGATCAAGAGACAGGACTTAGTTTAAAACTGAGCTACATTTTAACTGTATGTTAGTGGTGGAGAATATTAATTAAATTGCTGCTGCTTCAATATGTATTCACTATATATTGGCATAGAAGGCAGGCAGACCTAGGGTATTTGCTACACTGTGCAGCCTTGATAATATCACATTGCAGGGAAGACTGACAACGAATAAAAAGAGCTGAGTTGACATTGTGGTGAAGCAGAGCAAGCGGAGTCTGACTTTTAACCTCTATTGTTGGTTGGACTGGTGTCACATTGAACAGCAAAGATATTCTGAGATTTGAGATTTGTAATAAAAACCTCTGAATTCCGTCATTATGTTTAGAATACGATGAAATGTCTGAAACCTATTAGGATTTTTACACGTTTTCTATCCTGTCTCCCGTCACAATTGATTAAGATTTTATAAAGTGTCTAATCTTTCTTCCACACTGGCAAAGCACAGGAGTTTAGATGGTCATTAATCTTAAACATATCTTGACATCCAAGAAGGCATGAAAGGAAATGTAAAACACCAGGGAATAGGATGCGGCGCATGTCAAGTATACAACATAATATACAACAGCAATGCTGCATGAAGACTGGGGTTACCTTAATAAAAAGCGAGAGAGCAATTATTGAGTTCACTAACTCTTTTCATTCGCCCAAGACTCAAAACACGAATTCCCAAAACAACATTGACTGTACGGTGACGTGCACTTTTCCTCTACAGAGTCCAGCTCTGTCCTGGTGTGCATTCTTGTGAATGCAGAGACCGATATGATTCTATTCAAGGGTCTGTGTACAGTATAGGCTCTTCACGGCCTTTCATTATCATCTGAGTGTCCTGTACATATCGAAGCCCTGTGTCTCAGTTAAACAATCTTCCAATTCCATTCTCATTACTAACCACACACATTCTGCCCTTTATCTTAAGGGTACCGGGGGAGTTAAAACACAGTGTTTCATAAAGACCATCGTGATGGCTTTCTGCCAGCAGTGGCCGCAGCCCAGCCAACCATTTGGATTAATACAGTGTTCATTGTCTCATTTAGAGGCGTCTCCATGAAGGTCATACAGTCATTTCCTTGGCCACCAGTGAGTGCAATTGAAGTGGTTCAATTGTAAAAATGGATTATGTGCAGCCATCTGTTTTGCAATTAACAATGGCTGGGTTACCACGTTATTCAAGATAATAAAACTATTGAACAGTTCTGAAATGAAGACTTGTGCATATACACAGAAACAGTGGAACTAATGAATAGCTCACCTAGTCATAATGAAACATCATCGGAGTAAGAACTGAGACAATATTAGAAGAAAATCAAATGAAGGCTACATTATATTATAGGAATAACCCTTGTGGAGAATATGAAACCAAAGAGTGTCCTTGATCTATTATTTGGAGCGTAAATATTACTTGCCACATTGTAACATTTCATTGCAATTTCTAAAAAGCAATTTAAACCAAAAGCCAAAAATACAGTGGATAACTAATTCACATTTTACAGTTATACATTATACACCAGTGAGCAGGGTTCAAAGCCCCTTGAACTTCAAGATCAACCACTATCTTCAATCACTCTAAATCTAAAATGGATCATTGGAATATATGATGTATACAGTACTGCAATGCTCCTCTGAATGAACTTTTAAGATGAAAAGGCACACTCGTTTTAATCCCACAGTCATCATGAAGCAGGATGTTTGTGTAAAGTCACTCAGGAGAAAAGACAACATTTAATGAGTGGTCAGAGAAATTAAGAGCACTGTTTTTAAAATGTATAGCACAAGAATTGTTCCCAGGCATTCCAGAGAAAATTTAATGTGCAGTTCAAGTTTTGCCACTTTGCCAGAGACCATGTGACAAAGCCCATGAATGAATCTTCAAGCCAGTTTCTTCCCCTCACTTGTCACATGCTGCATTGTGTTGACATAAAGAAGAGAATATATACTGGTCTGTTATTCTAATAAGAAAAGCACCATCAAGTGTTTAGAGTCAGGACAAGCTGCAAAGGAGATATATTACCACAGTATCATGAAAGAGCCTTGTCAGTCTCATGACAACACATGGCAAGGTTGCGGCAATACACTGAAAGTATCTTTTATGGATAGCTATGTGTCTTCTAGGGTGTTGCCAGATAATCTAGGTACGTTGTGTGTAACTGGTTTCTGAGTTTTTGATAGTGTGTGGCTGTTGCCCTACTAGATGGTTGCTGCTAAGCACTAATGACTACTCCATGTACACCTGGAAGTGGTGACAGAGGAATTTATAAAAGAGGTAGAAGTAGTAAGAGAAAATGGATTATGTTTTGATGTTTCAGCACCATGGAGAGAGACATGCTATTTTGAACACGGAGAGGTGCAGACAGACTGAATGTGTGCGTATGTTTCAGTACTGGAGGGAATATTGCATTTAAAGGTTTCAGTTGCATTGTCGGCATGAATGCTGAGTTAAAGCCTGGAAGAAAAGCACAGCATTATACTTTTGGACTACTTTAAAAAGCATGTCCTGTTTCAGGAACAAAATGTACCGAAAATCTTCTTTAATGCAATAAAGTCCCAAGTGTAGTGCACTGTTTTAAGATTCTAGCTTCAGCATCAAGACCAGTCCCCCTTCCCTTTATTAAAATGTTTGTGAAGGGACACAATTAAAGTTCATAGCACCGGTTTCCTCAATGAGTTGATATGAGTTAATATGTATATATGAGGCCAAAACTATTAGTTGTCGATGTTGTCGGCTGGTACTGTGTGGATATAATCAAATACATGAATACAAGAAGTGTTATGACTATAAAAGTATTATGACTGGGCAATTCTACTTTAAAACTAAGCAAAGCATTACCACCATGTTGAAGGCAGACAATGGTAAGATATAATAAGTTTTTGGTCTGAGTTTCTGAAACAGAATATTATTATTATTATTATTATGTTAGATCAAATCAAACTAAAGTGTATAAATACGTCAACAAACAAAAAGAGTAGCGTCTCACTCTGACCAACAACTAAGATTGTATCTTAAATAAACCAGTTTCAGGTTACAGTTATTTGTGTCTTGATATCTTCAAAGTGAATTTCTACAAAGTGCTGCCAGGGTGAAATACCTGCAGGGTAGATAAGCAGCGACAGCTTCATGTCACAAGAACAGATTATGAATACACCGCCAAGATTAGTTTGATGGTTTGGATAGATGCTGTAACCAGTGATGCATATTAGATTTTAATTGGCATTTTTATTAGAATTCAACTGGCATTTTTACAGCACTTTTGATAGGATAGAGCATGTTGCAGCAATTTTGAGTGTACTGGTGTGAATGGAGAGATTTTACCAGTAGTGTCATAAAAGTAAATGTGCACATGAAAATAGTGATATATGTCTCATCTTTAGTGGGTTTTTATTAACTGTTATCCTTAAAAAGCTGAGATTCTTTAAAAAAAAAACATTTACAGTGGTGCCCATCTGTGTGTTGTTATTATGATATGTGTCTACATCCTCTGCAATAAGTCTAGTTTGTTCTCAGCCAAGCCACCAAGGCCATGCCTTGTCACTAAGTATGTCTGTTATTCTCAATGACAGAATAGCAAGCTGCTGCCAAGGAAGGGACAGTGTCCAGATTGATGACCTCAGCAATGCAGAAATTTCCTGGCAATCAGACAGCAGTGAGCAGTACTGTGACATGTTTGGCTTTCTGTCTTGGAAGTGTCTTATAGCCTGTTGTTCATTTACTCAGCCTGGTTTGCTATTGTTGCTTGTGCTACCATAACTACCCGCTTCATCTCCTAATTATTCACACACACAGACACTTTTCCTCTGATAACAGCAAATATCATTTGCTAGAGGATTCTTCCCTGAAAGAAACGTGTCGCTTCTGGGTAAAAGCAATATAGAGCAAACTGTTTTCATAAAATTTGACAGATTGCTGTGAACAATCATCTAAATTAACGTCTGTGCTGAACTGGGTTAAAATGCCGTAATGTTTCTAGCCAATATCATAATGTGGTTACCTGTAAAAGGTGGTTTGAGGCAGACCGTACATCCAGGGTTGCAGCTCCAGACTCGGATACTCAGTGAACGGTGGGACGATGAGTGAGAAGATCAGAGACATGCACACAAAAACAGCAGGCAGGACCACCTAGGAGGACGGTGAGAAATGTAAAGTCAAAATACCGAATAAAAGTGTCCCTGTCCCTACTGAGACATTGTACATCTGAAAACTCACGAGCAGAGCGGCATGTATGTCGTTTCGATTATATAAACAGTTAATTTTATGACCAATGTAATGTTACAACATACAGTGACACAATTATGAATAATAAGATTATAGCTGGAGCCCTATACACGCGGTGGGGGGGGGGCATTATCATGCAGTCTGCATGGCTGATACAAACGCATATTAATGTGTGTAAGCGTGACAGCACAAGATTCAATGCGAGATCAATTTCATCATTCCCCTCCCGGATCCCCCTCACCATCATTACGTGCTACAAAATGACTGATGCAATCAACAATAACGTGGGGCCGCTGCAATAACGTGTGCACATTAATATGCTCCCCGCCAACTTGTTTGGGCTCTTCTGCACGCTTTATGAGTTTGATTAAACACTTCCAACGCTGCCACTGTCATCTGGCCACGCAGATATAATTAGTTTTCTCGATATTTTCTTGTCTTTTGTGTTATTTTGTTTAAAAAAAACAGACAATCCACCCCCCACCCCAACCCCATCCAATCCTCTTTTCTCCATCATGTAATTCTCTTTTCATTTCATTGTTAGAGCTGACAAAAAGGTCAGTGGGAAAAACGCAAGCTATCTTTAATGTTTAATCACTTGTAGGTTGGGGCGCACTCAGCAGCAGGGGGAGGTCTGCGTACACTTGATTAATTGTAGGGCATGCAATTTGCCAGGTCAATTCAAGATGCTACAATTAAAAATCCTAAATTTACTGCAAGGAGCTATGGCCATGGAAATGCGCTCTGAAGACAGATAATGAGCAGCAATGAGACTGAAAAGCTTAATGGCAGACCGCAAAAGAAAGAACTATTCTTTTTCTGTTGCTCTCTCCTCTCTCTCTCTCTCCCTCGACCGTAATTGCAGGTGACAGCTGGTACTTCGTCCATCGAGAGAGATCTGGAAAAAAAAAACGGCGAGCCATTATGCTCTCAAAGCCAAAGCACTCCCATGAACAATGCATGAGTTTATCGCATTCTCAAGTTTGGCGGGGATTTTAAGAGGAGGACAGGATTATATGCAAAGTGGGTATAAACACCAAAACACGATTAAGATGAGTCCTATTTCCTGCAAAGTCAAATGCCTCATTAGATTGAGTTTGTCTCCTCAACAAACATTTATGTTTATCCAATTTCATTTGTGAATAATAGCTTTACTGCTGCACTGGTGGATAATAGCATCACCTTGCTTATTATTTCCTATGGACAAAATCACATCCACAGCAGTGAACAAAAACAATACAGAAACTTAAATACAGCAAATGAATACATCATGAACCTTGCTGTGGTGATTCTTAGATTAAAAAAAGCAAAAGAAATATTCGCAACTGCAATATGTACACCGACTGCTGCTTAATGGCAAGCTTGCTGCAGCTTGAAAGGGTTGTCGTTGTAGTCAGTTGAGTTTGAGCTCCAAACAGCAGAAACTCATCCACTGCAACATAACCAATAACCGCTTCTCCCGGATTCTGACATTGCCAAGACTCGCCTGTCCCCAACTTTCATTCCCATAAATCACTCCTTTTGTGTTACATGCCATAATCCTTTTTATACTCCCCCTAACCGCTTGTATTCGAGGAGATTACCTCACCCCACAATCATATCTGCTGACAATGGGAGCTGTTGACGTGAGGGGGGGGGGCCTTTAGCCAAATGAATAAAGAGGGAGAGGTGCACCTTGCAGACAATGTGCACCCTTGTACGTACGCACGCATACACTTATCCTTCTATCCTGCTCTACGTCCGCACTAAAGAGGGACGTCCAAGACTGACAGTGACTAATGGGGACTGGTACTGCAGCAAATTACAAGAGGAACCTGTACACCTCACAAAGGTGAAACATCGTTCTCTCTCTCTCTCTCTCTCTCGCTCTCCCTTTCACACACACAGGACAGCACACTGGAGCAGATGATGAGCAGCACTTCAGTCATTTTTCAGTTGTGATTATTTCAGCATCATGGCAGCTGTCATAACTGATATGATATTTACATACACACTGTGAATCTCGATGGGTTGTGGTATGCGTGTGTTAACCCACTTTAAGTCAGAACACACTTTTTTAGAACTTCGAAATTGCTACTTACCGAAATTGGTTTTGACTTTTTTAAATTACATCTGTTTATTGGTTTTGACTTTTGAAATTATGTTTATGAGGAGCAAAATAATATAGACGTACACTTAATAGGCTAACAACAATCTGTCAACGCTGTAATTGTTATGCGATCACATTTAATACATAGTTAATGAAAACACATGATTAGCACACAGCAGAATGAAGGAAAAACAAATCATGGGTGTCACTTTGCCTTTCTGGTGCCAATCACAGCGATCAGGTGAGACTGATGGTGCTCTAATTGAAGCCAACAAAACACCTTTCGGCGACTCACTCTACACACAAATGTATTAACAGTTTCCTGGCCACACTAGGCATGACTGTGTGTCCAAGTGTAAAGGTGAGAGACCTGATATATCGGCCCTATTGGGGCTGAAACAGGTATGGACACGTTTCTGCTCACATAAAGTGATTTATCAGAAACTGAAGAGTAAAATCTCCTCCACCACAGCAATAAACACTCATGTTTATGCCAACTTCAGCCTCTGCAGTCCCTCGAGTGTTCTTTGGTGTAACACATGGCTCCCTTGGGAGGTAAAGATGATTATTGTCCGTGCAGTTTACTGACATCATGTTACATCATTCTGGGTGCTGCTCGTCACATTTTTCAAACTCTTTCCTTTCATATATCCTGCCTTCTGTGTCGATTTCTATTCCCACAACTTAAATTCAAAAACAACTATTGACTCCATCAAGATGGATGACTTCTCTCTTACTCTATCATATGTCATATGTCATTAACTGATTTTGAAAGCCAACATGTATTTCATACAATCATACCTCGATCCTCCTATGCAGCCCTCCTTGTATAACCCTTAAATACATCAGTTTGACAGACTGAGGCCATTACCTGGGCAATGAGTCCCTTGCGGCTCCTTCGGGCGTTGTGGAAGCGCTTGATAAAGAGTGCCAGGAACTGCCTCCTGATCAGCTTCCATCCGGTGATGACTGTGGATCCCTTCCCACTGACACTGGCGTTCTTTGTTAAGTCTGGAGTGGACATTAACCCACCGTGTTATTTATCATATATGCATATGTAAAAGACCTGCTGAGCACAGCTAATGGGCTAATCAAATATAACTTAAGTGTTAAACCTGCCAGCTGCACTTGCTCAGTCATCAGTGTAGTATATTGTGTATCATGTTTTGGAAATGGTATTTGGTATTTATTTCAGGAGGGAAAAGGGCTTTGCAGACACTTTGGTTTTATGTCTGACACTCACCAAGAATATAGTTAGAAAAAAAAAAAAGCTCTATCTTTTCACTGTAGTCATTAAGATAATAAAGCATGTCCTGATTGAAAACCATTTCCACAAGGAAAGAAATTTTATGCAAGTGAATTTGTTTCATATGGGTAAAATTGAAAAGGTGAAGAGACAGGTTAGATAATGTTGTATGGATTGGAAGGAAATTCAGTTTGAAAATGGCTTATTCTGAAGACAAAGCTTTTGTTTATGCCCTCTTTTCAAAACGGCCACTGAGGTGAAACAGTCAAATTGAAGCCAAACTAAATTAAGTTAATAACTGAAGAATAAAAAATGTGTGTAGAAAGGCTAAAGCTAAGATTGGGACAAAATACAGTACCTACCTTCCACTTTACGTGTGAATTTTTCCTTTAATTCTGCATGAGAAACAGAAAGAAACAATCCGGAATAATAGTACATTTATTACCCATAAATATTAGTAATCTCTCTACTTTCTGGATTGTTAAGTAAAATCAGAAATGTTAAACTGAACTGCCTTGTATAACTATATAAATTTGTAGACTTGCCATTCATTCCAGAGACTGTTTTAATGTGGACGCTGGCAATGCTGTTTCGCTTGGATTCGCGGGAGCTTCTTTTGCAGTCTCTCACCAACAGCTCCTTTGTTGCTGTGGGAATACAAATAAGATATGTTGTTTGGGCCTGACCCAATTTAGGGTTATAAATAACAATAAGAATAGCTACTTGCCCTGCTAGACGCCATAATATTCCCTGTAAAAGCACAAAGCCAGGTGTTCCAGGAAGGTAAGGAAATCAGATTTTGAGATTAAAGTTGTTTGGCGATAGATACAAACAAAAACGATGCAAATAAGGGAGGAAGATTTATCCAACCAATGACCACACAAGTGACGCATATTGGCTTGTATGCAAGTCATACACGTGTTGTTTAGTTTCAACATGTGATAGTTCTTCTTCGTTAATGCAGTTAGTCTATGTTCAGAATGTGTTTTGATTTCAGTTTGTTTTTTAGGATATTAAATCCTTTTTTTTTTCCCAGTTTCTTTGTTTCTTTCTGTTCTGTCTGGCTGATATTCCTGCAGTGTGGGCACAAATGAAATGTCCTCTTAAGAGTTAAGTTAGTTGTCTTAAATATGAAAGCTGTGGCTCAGGAGATAGAGTGGTCGTCCACTAATCAGAAGGTTGGTGGTTGGATCCCCAGTCTCCGTGTCAAAGTGTGCTTGGGCAAGATATTGAACTCCAAAATGCTCAGTGGATGAATATTTAGCATTAGGTCCTTTCTGAAGAGCAATTGGCGCCTTGCATGGCAGCCACTGCCATCAGTGTGTGAATGAGGTGAATGTGACATGGACTATAAAGCACTTTGAGTGGTCGGAAGACTAGTAAGGTGCTCTATAAGTACAATCCATTTACCGTTTCAGTGTCATACTTCTTTTACAGCTGACAAATGGCGCTGCCTAGCATTCAACCTAAAAGTACGATTCTGGCCCCAAAGTAAGTCCAAATGTATAAGTAAAGCAGAGAATTGAGAGGTCCATTGTTTTGTTTCTGCAACACGATAAGGGGATCAATAGCATAATTGTTGTTCCATCAAGATGTCAAAGATGGCTTGAAGTGGAATTAGTGTGCAGATATGCTAACTTGATGCATCTGAGACTGTTGTGTACAATTGACATAAACGTATTTTTTCATCACAAGTAAAATGTTTTACATAAATACATATTACCAAACATTTACCAGTGTGTGTGAATCAGATTAGGCTACATGAGTGTTTTCCCAAGAGATGGAATACATTATTCTGTTTATCCCCATATGTGCGTTAACATTCATATTGTCACCTTACCTGGTATTTCTGCATCCACTCCGGTATCCTCTGCCACTTTTAGAAATATCTGTAAAATGAACAAATCATATTTGACTGTAGTATCTTGTAAAATCTACACCATGTTTCCTGTCACACTATACTCTAAGCATGTACACAGTACAGTAGGACGGGTGCATCCACTGCAGTAAACTAACGATACTGCAGTGGATGTGTTATTGTTGTTCTGTTACTGCTTAGAATCAGGGTTGTCTATTCACAGTGACCCTAACCTTTACTTGAGCACCTGCCAACTGGCCTCTCTAAGATAACTGCTACTCCTACTTGACTTCATTTATTAATTCAGGCCATATGTCAAAATAAATAAATCTCCGTATTTTTGAAATATTTCCAAGTGGCCTTCACTTATTTCATTCTGATCTGCGTGTTAAGCCCTGTTTCAACATCTGCCCTCTAAAACGTCTCTGCACACTTCTGGGAAAGCCTGCAAAGTCCTAATTTGTACTGAATGTGATTTTATGTGGTAAATTATATCAGCCAGAAACACATAACCTGGAACTCCTGACACCATAAAACACTCAAAAATATTTTTTTAAAAAAGCTATTCATAACATAAACCAGAATAAACGTTATTATATGAGTAACTTCCATGAAACATCCCATCTATCGGTCCGTGTTTATTAGTGTCGTATGTGGAAAATCAATGCGTACTTCAAGTGAAAAGTAGTTAGACTTCAAAAGAAAACATGGACGGATGAAATAACCTGGTTGTGTCTGAATGTTTGGAATTCAAAAGGAATTATTTACATTGCCTGCAGGCCATGAGTGTCTGATACATGTCAGAGTTACAGGGAGAGCATTAACAGTCACTCAGCTTTATGATCCGAGACTCGTCTGGATGCCAAACAAACTGTGTGAGTCATTTGTTTGGGAGAAATAAGACCATGTACTGTATGTGTAAAGAAAACAATGACAGCACTACGGCAACTACTACTAGACTGGGCCAATACTTACAGAGAAAAGGATTGGATTATGAGGATAGCAGTTTTACATTTAAATTAAAATATTCTGGTGGAAGTCCTGTAACCTTGCATACATTTGAAATAGGCATCTAACTATCAAAGTGAAAACCAACTTGAAATTTCTGGATGCTGATGCTAAATAATCCAGAGGAAATAATCCAGAACTCATAGTTACTGGTTATGAAATGTAAAGTTGCTTGTCATAGTGCTACAATTTTTGTTATTTGCGTTTCCTGCATTATGAGACAGATTACTTACAGACAAAAAGTATTAGAGGAAGGAGGAGAAAAGAAGATGTCTTATGTCTAATACTTTTATGTTATTGTGTATATGTAGGCAGTCTCTCTATATAGTACGTGTGCAAGCTTATATCTCTAGCTAGGTTGTCAATTCTGCACTTAGTGTACCTCCTCCAGCGTGGTGTCAGAGATGCCGTAGCTCGTCAGGCCGAGGTCAGCCATTGCCAGGTCGAGCTCTTGGAAGAGCAGGGCAAAGGTCCCATCTCTGGCTCCACCGTAAGGCAGTATGTAGGTGATCTCCTGGCCGATGCTCTCCAAGAAGACTGCCTCAGGGACGTGGCGCCTCACAAGATGACCCACAGCTGTCAAGTCTGCCGGACAAACAGCCACCAAATTACTCACAAGACAACCTCCAAAGGATGGTAAAACTGCACACACACACAAACAGACGTTTGTATTTTGTCCATACTTCTACCCCTCGTTTAATGTTTCCTTCATACTTTCAGATGAAGTTGTTTCTTGGAGGGATATAAGAGAGAATTCATGAGCAGCCACCGCTCCTGGCTGCAGAACCTTCAAAATGTCTACACCCAAATGTTGATACAATATCAGAGAAACTTTACTAAAACTCCTTTTCAAGTGAAACACTGAAAAACTGCTATGTAATGCACTGAGATCGCCACATACCTGATGCTGTGACCTTTAAACATACTGAAACAGATCAGTGGACATAATTCTCCTGCCTCATCCATTCTGAAGCTGGGGTCTTAGTGGGAATCAATCAGGACAGTGTTGCAGAACGCACCGCATCCATTATTGATCCAGAACCTCTCATACATAATTACTGCAGCTTAACAACCAACGGCTTGGTGCTTTATGAAGAAGTAAATGGATCTGCTTCACACATCAGACTGAATTATTTGTGAAAGTGTGTGTGTTTCTGTCTGTTTGCTGGTGTGTGTGTGTGTGCGTGTTAATAAAGAGAAATGTGCTGTCACTTGTGGAAATATGGTTACTTTTACGGCATCTTATATTTAACCGTCGTGTGTAAAATCATTTTGAAGGCATGAGCAGGTGTGCGTTTCCATGCATACTAAACTGGAGCCTACCTGAGATTTTTCTTCTGATCACGTCTTGCATGGATACCTTTGTTTACGTGATCAAGGCTAGGAATGATCAAAACAAATCAAATCAGCAGCATCACACGTTTTAGTTGGGAAATATGTGTTCCATTTTCTGCTGTCCCTCTACACGACTTTCTTCGATTACAATTCCATCTAGAAAAACTGTAGTAAAGGTCAATTCAGTAAAGATTTGATCATTTGCCCACACATTCTGTAATTTCAGAGAGCAATTGGTTAATGAGTTGTATGAGGATTAAATAAATAAATGAGGGGACGTCAAATGGTAAGTATTGATCTACGCTTTCCAGGACAGATTTGAGCTGACATTAAACACAAGTAATCAGTAATATTGAGCGTGAAATTATTTCATTTTAATCCATCAATTTGTTTATTTCAGGGTATTCTACAAGACTGGTGAGAATCTCAGAGGAGTTGGATTATTCTTTTTTCATCAGCTGTGTTAAACAGTCAAAATCCACATTACTGTACAACACTGGAGAAAGGAAATAGGCTATGATTTGAACAAGGAAAATACAGCTAAAGCCGAAAAAAAACCCCATGTATGATGCGTTTGGCCATTTGGACGTAGCATAAAAAAAATGGTGAACACAGCCTTGACATATCAAACTGTTGCTTATTTACACATCCAGGAGTCATGGAGAAACAGCAGCATTAATTTTTTTTTGAGTGGTGGCGATTCAGGCCACATAAATGTAAGTCCAATATTCCCTCACTGTTAGCCACCTCTTTCATATTGTTACATTTTTGCGATGATCAATTTGATGGACCAATCCTGCTGCTACGTCTTATGGAACTGGATGCTTGGGCTCAAAGCTTCTAGGGAAGACCACCGATCTCTGGAAGAGTGGACGACAGCCACTAGAGACTGGACATGGATCGGCTGCCACTAAGCAGTGCTGAACGGAAAGCTCAACTAATCAGATGATGTACTGCGTTAACTCCCTCTATCAAAGACATACTACCAGAGGGGAGCTTTTCATAAAGATCATCATTAATTGGCAGGGAATTTGTCATCATTTCTGAAATATCATGTTCAAAGTATACTTCACCATAGTTTTAGGTTAAAATGTCCTTCATTTTTCATATCCTCTACTCAAATTCTTTCTCTATCACTAAAACACCTACTTTCCCATTTGTGCCAACCATTTAACTAGGACATTAAAGTGCACTCTAGCAGTAGATTCACATTTCAACAGCATCTGAAGGCCAGCAGCTACCTTTACTACTCCTATTGTGTCTATTGGTTTGGTACTGAAAAGGTGAAAAAAAATTCTGTGAGCTAATGGATCTTTGTTGTTTTGAAGAAGGCTGACATGGTGCCGAGCTACAGCACCTGTACAGTGTTAAGGTAACTTACAGTTTTTACAGGATGTTTGATATGGCGCTGACAGAATTTTGAGTTTTGGATGAAATAGTCACACAAATATTGACACAATTTGTGGTTTAAATGTATGTTGTACCGAATATAACAACAGATAAAGTTGCTACCTGAGGGTTCAGAGTTGCTCCAGCTTTGGCTGCCGATGCCATCATCCAGGCTGCTTCTCCTCGAAGGACAATCTTTTCCCTGTTAATCAGAATTGGATTAGAAAGGCCTTATCATGCCTTACCACTTAGAATGATGAATAGTGCCTTGACATCTCCTGCTGTCATTCCTAATGGATGCTATGCACAAGTTTCTTCTGTAATTGCTCTAAATAAAACTGTGCGCATGAGACAATAGGTAATGCGGCCACTCACTGTAATGTAATGCGAAGTCATAGTCCTTTCAGTTTAAGACCATACCCACAAATGAAGATTACACTTTAATTTTAGCAAAGGTTTAATAAACCTCGCTGCATTTTTAAAGAACTTTATGACATCTATAAAATGGGAGTTTAATCACACTAAATGAGATCAGGAGAATCAGTTATGTTGTCTGTGTAATTGCAAAAACTTCCACTCAATTGCAAAGTCGTCGTTTGAGAACGGGGAGGTACAATTCTACCTTGCCTAGAAAGGTGTTTGCATGTTTATTTATTTATTTTAAACAAATGACTCTGCTCACCTCAAAGAGCCTCCAGACAAATGGTAATTGCTCCAGCCCTGCAGGCATCAGTGCATCTTGTTCATTTGCTCCTATTGATTAAAACTAAGTGTGCGAGGCACCATTGGCGAGCAAAAGCGAGAATCACCCCTCTCCCCGGTGACAATTAGTATCATCCAGCACGTAGGTGTTTGCCAGTTCTCATGCTGGGAGAGACTAAACACAGATCATTATAGGGGGAGGGCGGTGAGAGAGAAAGAAAGCACTCAGTAATGCCAGAGGGAGCCATGTTCAGTAACAGACTAGATATTGTTGTGTCAAAGGGACAGTTCTTTTATTGATACATGAAGTCAAAAAGAATGATCCCCTTCCAATTACAGCAGTTTAACCTAAATTTGTTTTAATAAAGATAAAAATGAAGGGTAATTGTGTGGTCAGGCAAGGGTCCTAATCACCAAATTTGTGTTCATCTGAAGATAATGAGATCACACAGCCAATGTTGTCTCCATCAAAAGCCCTGGTGAAAAATATCCTGGAGGATGCCATCATGATGGTTTTTGATAAATAACTTTGAGGAATACTAATATGTTTTATTACAAACAACTTTTTGTTTGTTTTGTAAAATAAATCAAACTTCACAGTGGTTGAATGTTAAATTAAAACTTAACTTAACTCAAAAGCTAATCAGTAACCAGATCCTACATTTGCTTTCTGTTCGTACCTGCTTGGCCTGACCGTGTAAGATGCCGTCACTCTGGGCTGTCATGTTTTCAGTCCCGTCTCGGACCAGAGTGAGGTAGTAGCCGCTACCAAAACATTTCTTCAGGAAGAGTGAGGAGCCACAGCAACGCATCTTGCCGTGGGAGATGATGGCAATGCGGTCACCTAAGATGTCTGCCTCATCCATGTGGTGTGTAGACAAAATGATGGTGCGACCTGAAGACAGACAGAAATAGAGACTCAATCGATGTCACCTGAATAGCCGCATTAAGGGTGAGTGCTTAGTGTCTGAAGTTGTGTGTAAAAAAAAAAGTGTCTGAGTCACAGACGCTGTGTCTGAAGTAAAGAATAAATACACTGGGTTGCACATATCAAAAAACTTAAGGCATATAGTGGAAATAAAAAAATTAATTCTGAAGAATTTTTCTCTTTGGACCTTGTTTGTTTTTGAGAGCTGCCGTTATGAAAAAGAAGCCTCAGAAGAAAAGATGCCACTGATCAAAAGTGTTCAAATCAAGCCAATATCACAATCTGTCTCTGCATGGTAGTCACTTAGCTCCCTATTTACAATTCCACTGTGATTTTTTACCCGCATGGCAACAAAGCAAACTCCAGAGGAATGCGTGGGCGTGAATCTGGGACAAAATTAAAATGATGATAAAGGCCACCCGAAGCCTACTTTCCAGCTTTTCTATGAGACCACATTTTATTTCAGCTCTCCCTTTTCCTTTTGTGCTGGGAGTCCTTTGATTTGAGAGGCATCAAACTGAGCACAATTGCAATGACAACTACAGCATGCATTGCAAGGGTATTCACAGGTGTTCTAATCCTTTCATATCATGCTGTATCAGATAACACATATTAATTATCACGTACCCCAGAAATCAGAAAAAAGGACTAGATCTGTAATGAAGTAACAGCAGGGTCATGTCTCTGCAGTCGGCATGAAAGCAGTATCACAGAATACTGGGTAACTTTTGATCCAGTCATGTTTTAAAGAAGAAAAAAAAAACATTTAACCCAATAACTTTATTATTAAGTGACAAAGCAGAAACCTGCTTAGAAGTCAGTTACTTTAAAAAGGCTGGGCTAGCTCAAGATGATTACATTTACAAAACTCAATAAATGGTAATTATAGCTGGAGACTGGTGGCAACAACTTTGGTCCAGATTAAAATATCACAACTATTACATGGATTGCTGTGAAATTCTGACATTCACTGCGGCCAGAGAAAGAATCCAGCTGACTATGGTGCTCCCGTGACTAGCGCCACCACGAGGATGATGTTGGTTTTTAGTCACATGTCTCAACATTTATTTGATAGGTTGCCTTGAGATTTAGCACAGATATCCATATTGCCCAGAGGATGAATCCTAATGACTTTACTGATCCCCTTACCTTTACTTGTAATGCCCCCATGAGTATATTGTAATCATTTCAATTTGTCCAATATTTTGGGCACAAAAGACATTCAGCCTCAGCTGCACTTTGTGGTTAGTGCTACTGTCTGTACTTAGCAAATGTTAGCATGCTAACAAAACTAAATAAGATGGTGAACAACAGGTGCCGATGTCAGGTGTCCATGCTTGCTTCTATCATTCCTCCTGTTCGTACTGGCCATTAAAATATCCCATCTTAAAGTGACAGGGGATAAATAAAAACATAAATTGTGCAAAAATATCTATAAGTTTATGAGGCTTTGACATTGCCCTGTTAAGCATTGTCATGTGAGCATGTTAGCATGCTGACATTAGCATTTAGCTCAAAGCACAGCTGTGCCTAAGTACAGCCGCACAGCGCCGATAGCATGGCTGTAGACTCTTAATCTTGTTAAGACATAATTCTGAAGTTTCAGATCACATCAACTCCCTACGGAGATGACAGGTGTGCAATATCAAGCATATTAATCTCTAAACAACTAGATGCTCTCTCAGTAGGCAGCTGACTGGGTGGAGTTTTCTTCATTGAATTGGCTGGGGTTTATTGCAAAAGGTCAGTCAATGCTGAGCATGGCGGCTTTTTTTTGTTGCACTGAGCTAGTTAAATTTGTATCCTCACAGGTCACATTAACCCAGGGACAAGGACACACTCAGAGGTCATTAACTGCAGCCCAATGTCCATTTTGCTTGGCCAACTATTTCCCCTCGGTCTCCCCTCCTCCCATCTCCCACCTCTCCCTCGTTTTTTTGTGCCCTGCCACCAGCTGAGCTGCTAAATCCATCCCTTCTTAGTTTAGTATTGCTGCCTCATGCTATACCAAGCAAGTCTGGATCCCTCTATATACAAACTCTTACAAAAATGGCCAAGATGAATGAATGCCCACAACCCAGTCAATTTAACATATGGGGAGAAAAAGCTATGCTTATGAAGGGGGTGGGTTGAGGAGATTGCGTGAGGTTTAGTTTGTCTGAGCCAGCTCATTTTGAATGGGATGCTCAAACTCAGATGATTTTCCTGGGGATTTGTTGTGGTTTACAAGGGAAAAAAATAAATCAAATCGCGCTGTATCATCCGTGAGTTGGGAGCAAAATAAATGTGTTTGGACTGCAGATGGCCCACAAAGGCATTCTGATTTATAGTGTGTTGTGGTGCATTACAGCACAAAGTGATATATCAAATGGAGTTGGGCGTGTTCAGGTAAATTGGTAGTACTTGCACTACGTACAGCAAAGCAAGGCTGGAAATCTGTTTTTTGTTATTTAGCTTCCTTCTCTCTAAATCAAGTTGATAGAAATGGATTTCACTGTGGATGAGTGAAGTTGGACAGATTTCATGTACATATGCAGTAAGATGAGTTATTGGACAAAACTGCAGTTTGTGGCAATGAATTCATCCATTGGCTGTGCCCGCTTATCCTTTTAAGGGTGTCAGGGGGGCTGGAGCCGATCCCAGCTGACAACCATTCATGCTCACATTCACACCAACGGGCAATTTAGGGTCACCAGTGAACCTAACCTGCATGCCTTTGGACTGCAGAAGGAAACAAGAGCACCCGAGAAAGCTCACAGGGAGAACATGCACAAACTCCACAGGTGGCTGGCAGGTTAGAAAGCAGAACCTTCCTGCTGTGAGGCGTCAGTGCTAACCACTGCACCACCGGAGTTAAAAGAAACAGATGGGCCTCTTGTTTCAATTAAAAGCAACCAAATATAATAAAATGCAGCTGCATGTTCGCTGCTAGAGTTTCGCAAAATGTTTTGAATCTCACTTGAATGTAGTCTGTTGACAACTGAAACTGTGAATCTAACTGTTTGCTGAAGGTTACACAGGTTGAAGGAATATTTTTCTGTGTGTGTATTGTGTTAAATGTTGTATGATGTTGCCAAACACTATGGTTGAAGGTTCATAGCCCTCCACCCTCTGCAAAACATTTTATTGATGAGGTTTGATTTTAAAACAGTGGCATTTTTACCCCGTAAAAATCTCCAGAATGGCCTTTTTTCTATGTCATGAAAATTACTTACATAAAATCACATACAAGAGACAAAGGCTGGTGCATTTTTATACCATTTGTACTGCAACATTGGCTTCAACCCTACATTAATTTGTATTGCTGGGAAAAATGCATTATGTATGGTACTACAATTTTTCACAACTGCCAGAGAAACTCTAAAAATGCATGCAGCTACTATCAGAGTCTACAATAAACCGAGTTGCTACAAACATCCCACTTGAATTTTGTCATTATGTTTTCAAGGTAAGTCTGGAAAGAAATATTTGTAATGATTCAACATTGCCTACTTATCTAAACTGAATGATAACTGAATAATTAAACCAATTAAAAAACTAAACTGAAACAACTATCCACGCTTATCAAACACTATACAACTGTAACTTTGTGTTTCATATATTTCAAAGGTGTTAAGCCACAGGAAGAAAAAACACCTATATTAACAATGTGTGTTCTAAAAATATTTACTTATCTTTGCACCCGCTTGTTTCTCACAGACTAAATCACCTGCCTACATGTGTCAGGTCTAATATCAGCCTAAATGCAGCATTCAACAGTCAGTATTCAACGTGGGATTAAAGATGCTCAATGCTATAAGATGCTGCTCTACAGTAATATACCGTTTATGGCGTTTTTTGAGGAGCTGGTTTATGTCTTTTAACTGTATAACTACTAATTCAATCATAATGACTAACTTCAGGGATGCTAAAGTTTTTACATCCAATCATTATATGGCTGCTAATACAAGCAGTTAAAGTGAGAAATTCAGTAAGTCAGTGGGAGGATTCCTTGGATAGCAAGTTTCATTAGCCATGTGATCTAGTACATGTTAGGTGGTGTATTATGTGCATATGTAAATTAAAACGCAATATTTATGTGGCAGTAAAGAGCCAGGTAGGGCACAAATAAAAAAGAAAATGTAGAACCAAGTCTTTCAGGACACCAAAAAAGGCTTCTATATTGGTAAAGTTATCAATTACAATCAATAAATTGGGCGACATAAAATGATGCTGTCGCAGCAAAAACACACAAGGCTTGAAGGCACAAGGCTGATGCATAAAATCCATTATCTGAACACCATCCTCAAGGCCCATTTTATAATGATGAGTGGGGTAATTTAATAGTAATCAACTTCCAGTAATGGATAACAATTAAAAATTCATAATTTGCTCATTTCTACTTTAAATCTTCACCTTCTACTATAATTTTGTTATTACACATGCCAAAAGAGACATTAAAAGCCACCTTGAATGCAAACATCTAACGAATAATCAAACACCAATATGCCACGACATTAGCATTTTGATGAATTCCCTGTTTATTACAAGATAGATTAGGCATACTCATCTTAAATGTACACTGACGGTTTAATTTAACTTATTAGCACATGCACAGTATGTCCATGTATCCTTTGTACCCTGAGCAATTTTAAGACCAAATAAGCCCCTACTGAATTAAATCCAAACAATAAGGGCAATCTGGTCAACCTGTCTGTGTGAAAAACCTTTACACTTAATTAGCTATGAAGAAGCACAATATTAAGTTTAATTTCAGTCTTCAGCTTTTTCACACAAACAGTCTGCCTGTGGATTTTCTATGTTTTATTTTTTTGCTTAATGACAAACCTTAACACTGCGGTGCAAATAAGACTGGAGAGGCACAAAACATGATTCATTCAACCAGCCTGAATGTGGGTGTTCTCATTATAACGGAGTTATCTCCGACTCCCAATTGGAGTGAAAGGACTTGATTAGAGAGAGAGAAGCTAATGACACAGTGAGGGCGGAATGTCACTCAATGCACATTAAACATTTAGACATCTGTTGAGAGTTATGTGTAACTATGAAGTCCATGTACTGCTTACTCTAACTAGCAAACTCTAACTATATAAGGCCAGAGAGTGACAAGCACACTTATATGGCAGACAATTAGGGACTCTGTTAAGTAGCAACGTCAATTAAAGCATCTTGGATTCACTTGTCTTCACTTCCATTTCAATCTGTTCCAGTGTAACAATTTCTCTCCACCCACTATTGAGTGTCACAGAGAGCGAGGCAGAAAAAAAAAACTTCTGCAGGCTACTCTAGATGCTTCATTACCTTAACAGCTTTTTGGATACATTTGAGCTGTGTCAGTTAAAAGTTTACCTTGAGCTAAGCTCAGTTCTGGAAAGTTTCCTCAGTTTGAAACAGATCAAACATGTGCTTTGTGCATTCCAGTCAATTCTACAAACATAGGGGGCTTCAAAGCCTCTACCGGAGCCTTGGTTCTTACCACTGATCCCGTACCTTGTTTGTACTTTAACAGCAGTTCCCAGATACCCCTGCGGGCATAGGGGTCCACTCCTGCTGTAGGTTCATCTAAGATGACGATTTTTGAGCCACCAACAAATGCTATAGCCACAGACAGCTTCCTCTGCATCCCACCTAGAAGACAAAACAATCTACATCAGCTACAGCATCTTTGTAATACATTGTGTCTTGGACATGTGCTCTTATTACAAAAAATTAATAAATAAAAAATAAACTACAGCTGACATGAAATGTAAACTCATCTCTACAGGTATTCTGGCTGTAATCAGTGAAAAATCTTTCACAACCATCTGTCAACATTAGTTTTCAGATGTAAAATGGACACAACATTGGCAAGTGATTATGGATTAAATGTGTCGAGACGTTTTATTGTCTTTTGGTGTAAAATGATTGATGGCGGGGAAGTAGATACACCTTACTTGGGTTATTCGAGTCTCCACTCTCACAGCGAGCTCTCCAAAATGCATCCAGTGTAGTGCTAATGTAGTGGAAATGTCAGCATAGATCAACCTTGAAAGTCATATTTCAGTGATTTTGCTCACAAGCAATCCGTGACTGAGGACAATTTATCAAGCAGGACTTGGCTCATGCCCCCCAGACAATGGATTACAACCTGTGACACACAGTGCGTCGAGACAGCCACATGAACGTGTGCCGTCAGGGGAACGGCATAACAGGGCAGCTTTATCCTTAATAGAAAGAATAATATACAGATGATATTCCTTCCCAGGGGAAATGAATGCGCCAACCCAGAAAATGATGCGCACATCAAAAACAAAATCTACATCTTATTTTAATCAGACACCAAACTACACACATCCAAGACATGTCAACATAACACACATATAGACACACCTGACAGGTTCTTAGCAAGATCCTTTCGCTTATGGGGTAAACCAACATCCTTAATCATCTGGTCCATCTCAATTTTCACCTCATCGCGACTCAGTCCTTTCAGCCTGGCGTAGAAGTAGATATGCTCCTCCACTGTCAGCCTGTAGAGGTGAAAATAACAATCATAGGGCCCATTTGACTGACATGTGAGGAGGTAAGAGTGACAAAAGAGGGCATCACCCGCCACTTATTCACATGTAGGTGTTGGAAATCTCCAAAATGTCACTTTTATTCATCTGAACTGACATAAAGAATAGTCTTGAATTTCATCAAAACAGCCTCACAGGTGAGAACATAATATGCCGTGACGTCTACTTCTGTGGTTGCATGAATATTTTAAACCCTACACACTATAGATGCTTTGACTGTCTGGGATAAATATTAATGAAAGTAATTTGCAGGTGCTCAACCCTAATTATGATGTAGGACTGGCATCGAGTTGCAGGTAATCAGTTTGTGGAGAGAGAGAAAAAGAGGGGAATCTAAAGGTGAAATAAAAAATAATGGTTGGGAACGATGCTATAAGGAGAAAATTGGTGGAAGGAGTGAGCAAAGTTCATTTCATTATTTTTTTTTTACAGAATAAGGGATAGGGATGATGTGTTGATGTGAAACATAAGCCAAGACTGAGCCCTCATTATGCATGTGATTAAATTGCACTTTAATTATGCGGGTTTTTTTCGTCTTCTTTTTTTCCTTTAATACACCAGAGGCAAAACATGATTATATCAATGACCAGTTGAGAACAAAGAAGGATTTGCTAAATTCACTCACTCATTGAATAAGACATTGTGCTGTGGGCACATTCCCAAGTACTTTCGGATGCTGTCCATGTCAGTCTGGATGTTATATCCGTTGATGAGAGCTGTTCCTGATGTAGGTGGGAACAGTCCTGTCAGAATTGACCTACAAAGACATAAAACAAGACACAAATATCCTGATGAAGAAGCTTAGCGATGAATTCATGATAAATAATCTAATCCAGAATTATACAGCTAGAATCAAAGAGAGAGTACCTGCAACGTAGAAGCAGTTGGTTGAGCATAATGCTGAATTACATTTATTCCCTGATCCCTTTAAACGTATCTGTCAGTGGATAATATGTTCTATTTTATCAACATGTTCCAATTTAATGAAAAATGTGTTTTCAAGTACTGAAAAATGGAAACAGTGCTGTGCTGCTGTATCAGAAGATTTAGAGCAATGACTATCCATATCTTCTCTTTTAACATGTATTCAGTCTCAGGCCATTAATTATGTATTATTTACTTAGTAGCCTGGGCAGAAAAAAAACAAACAACATACAAAAGACGACACAGTTAAAAGCATGATAGTGTTTTGGTTAACGGAAGTTTGGATTTAGAACGGACAACATTGCTGCATATTCCCAAAGAAGCTACATGACGTAAAATGTGTGCACAAATTCAGTTGTAACAGTACATCTCACAGATAGACTGTGCTCTGCACACACAGAACTCCAGTGTGTGACAGAGTCCTTCCCCTGTCCTTTCTGTTATTGTGCTCTGTTGTGTTTCGTTACAGTTGCTCAGAGCGGATGTCTTCCCTTTAGCCCTTAGCCTTGCTTCGCTTGCTCTCTCTCTCTCTCTCTCTCGCTTATTCTTTCTGGGCCACTGGGTTTCAGTTATATCCTGTCATCCTAACCCCCTTCCAACATTTCCACTATTCTTTAAACACCAATTAGATAAGTCCCACTATCGACACAACAGCTGACTCTGTGTGATAAATGTCCTCTCAGAAGATGTCACTCTTTGATAGCAGTGACTGCTGAATTAATGTAGCCACAGTACAGTCGACATTGTGTACAAGTTAGATTAGTTGCACCCTGTGAAATTACATGAATATTGAGCCAAGTGGCAAAGCATGAGAGAAAAAGATAATGCAACTCACATTGTGGTTGTTTTTCCGGCTCCATTGTGGCCGAGAAAAGATGTGATTTGATTCTCGTAGAAGTCCACACTCAGCCCGTCCACAGCAAGCTTCTTTCCAGTCTTGTAGATTTTAACAAGATTGCGGACTGAGACCCCAGCTGTCATATTGGGTGGCGGTTTCTCCAGATACTCTTTAGAAACACGTGCATTGATTCATAAACACACACAAATACACAGAGAAAAAAGCATTAAAGCAGGTTAAAAAAAAGTATATATATATAGAAATGTATTTTAAAAGGCACAAACCATGGTCCAAACGTAAACAACGGTAGCCCTTCAAGATAACAACAAAATCACACATAGTAGTATCCACTGATGCTGCAAAAAGGTTGTTTACATCAGTATAATTTGTACGCACCGATATAAACCATGCCATTTTTAAATAATATTGCTGACAAACACAAAAATGCTTTGTTTCCTTTCAAACTCTTTTCATATTGTCAAAAAAAACCCCTCATTGGGTCTTTAAAAAAGAGAAAAAAGAAAACACTAAAAGACAAAAACAACCAACTCAGTCAGTCTGAATGTTGACTGGAAATTGTTTTAACAAGTTCTTAACTCGAAACTCACCTTTTTACCCCGCCAAGTGCCAAACCCTATTATCATCCTATGTGACAAATAAGGTGCCAGTGTTTGTTTGCGACCCATCCCTATGAACTTGCTCCCAAAATAACATTCTCAGGAATACATAACAACTGGGTATGTTACACTACAGATACACAGGTGAGAAGTGAAAATTATGACAGTTTACCGTTATGTACAGTGGAGTCCTTCAGCAAGTCGGGGTCAGCGTCAGTCACGGAGGGCTTCCCACGCCAATAAGATGAAGTGAAAGGGAAGTACCATGGCTTAGGGATGCCGTATTGGCCTGGCATCAAGCGCAGAAAACATTATTCACATTTTATTAACAACTTGGCTTGAGGGAATATGGTACATTACAGTGTACATTTCCTCTTGACAGCCTGGCACAAATCCTGCCTTCTCTTAATTAGAGTCGCTGAGAAAAGCATTAAGACTAGCCTGTTAAGATAGCTGCATTGGCTATTGATTTAACCTGGCCTAGGGGATGGGATCTCATGCGACAGGATAAAACTGGAACCCCACATTTTAACATCTTTACAGTTTAGATATGGCAGTAGTAGACAGTGTACAAATAAAATAACACTGATTAAATCTGCTTAAAAGTTAATACCTGGAAAGACATTCTCAATGTACCAGGTGAGCAGCCAGTAAAACGCAGCATCAAAGAGCATCATGATGATGGACACGATGAAGGTGTAGCGGTCTCCCTCTTCTGGACTCTTGTTAATGTTGTGCCACTGAATACCGATGCCTTGCTCCTCGTACTTGGAAAAGTTCTCGCAGCCATAGCCAAAGGCCACGCATGACAATAAGCTCTGGGAATGACAGATGTGCAGACATTTTTAGAAATACGCTCATTTGTTTTCATGAAGGTGTAGTGAAGAAGATTGCAGGTAGGCAGATTTTGTTACTTTGTCAGGTTAGCTGTTCCTCTCTGTTTCCGCTCTTTATGCTAAGCTAAGGTAGAATACATACTGTATTTAATGTATTGACAAGAGAATAGCATCAATCTTCTCATTTAATTTTCCACAGGAAAGGAAATACATATATTCCCCTAAATAATTAGAATATTATATTTTTGGGGAAGTAATAAAACTTGCTTTGTGATAGCCTTCGATTACTAAATTCAGGTGATGAATTAATTGTGAGAGATATACTGTTACCACCCAAGGTCACACCCATAAGCAATCATTACACTATCTTGGTAGACAGAGGAATATCTTCGCAGGCCTCAGCTGGTATAATTGCTGTGTTGCCTTTGTGAACATCTCTAAGGACTTGGACAAGATGGAGACTAGAATGTGTGTGGTGAAAACTAAGATTTGTTGGATCTTTCATACAGCAGGAAATCACAAATGATGCTTTGCCCATGAGACATCATCTGCCATGGCCTATCACTCTGCATTGCCATGTTGCCTGCCAGCTGTTTTATCATGCCTCATTTGCTCACAGCATTTTCACTCTGGCAGAAACATTTGCAAAAGCTTCAGAGACAAACCATCATGGATACTATCTACCCGGTGTTACATTAGCAAGCATAGAATATAAAAAGCTCTGCAGTGATGGCAAACCTCTAGCCTGGCTGCTAACACTGCTGGCAACTTCCTGTGTTGTCCTCCATTGCCCATCTACAGCCAAGCAATCAACAGTGAATCAGTAGATGAGGGGTGACAGCAGGGCTAGTGGGCACCCATCCTTGACCTCTGTATGAACGGCTGACAAAACGACAGGAACCACTCCTTTGGCTTTTGAGAAAAGGGCACGAGTTGGGACGCCGACAAAACAAATCCCCTCTACTGAACATGTGTAGCCACCATTCAGCTGGCTACAGACAAAGGGCACTGTTAAGAGGAAGAGTAACCAGGGTTCCAGCTCTTTCCAAGAGGTCATTTTCCAAGACATTTCTGACAAATAGAGCTGGAATGACAGACAAGATCACAACAGAGACACATGCTTCTGTCTGAAGTGCTTCCCTTTAAAAACTGTAATAGTCAGTTTCTTAAGTCTGACAAGAAAATGTTAGAGTACAAAGTATGCCTGTGTGAAAAACATTTCTCAGAATGAACTGGATCTTGGAAAACAAAGGGGAGGATAGAGCTGCAATGATTAGTCCATTAATCAGTTAGTCAATTGGTGGAAAATTGTTAACTATTTTGATATTTTTTTAATTATACAAGAATATAAAAGATTCCCTTGTTTTAGCTTTTCAAATTTGAGGATAAGCAGCTTGAATAGCTTTGGGTTTTGGCTTTTAGGAAATTGCACGGGCATTTTTGACAATTTTCTGACATTTTATAGACCAAACAAAAGGACCTTTGTTGCGTGCCATTCCCCTTCTCTCTCCTCTCGTCTCCTGTCTGCCTCTGTACGCCATGCTATAGAATACATGCAAAAATAATAAATATAAAAAATACTAATCTAATAAAAAGAATCATTATACTGAAAATTAAAATGTCAGAAGAGTTGCATGACTGAACACAAACCATATGCTTAAGTCAGCTGCCAGATGTTATAAAAGCATAGATCAATTAATTGATTTCAGCAAAGGAAAAGCTGAGAAGTTCTAAACTATTTTGCAGGAATTACCATTTTTCTCAGGATTATCCCAGGACTGGAAGATTAATTGAAAGTATTTATAGTTTCCCAGCATATAAAGAATCTCTCTCTCTCTCTCTCTATAAAGGTCTCTCTCTTGTTTCTAACTCATTAAAAACTGGAGGTAAAAGACGGAGAAAATAGTCAAAGCACAGCTGATAGGTAGTTTGACTGTGGCTATACCCTGTTTTACAGTAGCCCTCTGATTCACTGCCTGTAGCTCTTCTTTGGCACACAGGTGCAATCAAAAGCTGTTAAACATATAAATTCAGATGATCTTTTGAAATTCTGTTCCGATTAAAGACTTCATTATAAAGGACAATGTGGGGGACAATTTGTATGCTTTGGCACGATAGAGTTTCATCCGAGCTGGGAGAGCGAGAAAGCTCTACACACACACATCTCTGATAAAGTGTGAGGATCAACTGGATAGTGGTTTGGTCAGAGGAACATTGCTCATGCTAATTAGATAGCTAGAGGGCTATCCATCTAGTTGTAGCAGGGGAGAAAAATCTCAGCGCCAGGGGAGGCCCTGGCAATGGCACTTTGTGTAGAGATTAAATAAGGTTTGCAGTGCTTTATATGTAAAATGCCTACCTAACCTGCATACAGTCTGTAAAAGGAAATGGACTGAAAAGTTTCCTAAATGAAAGGAATGACATCATTTTAAATGACTTACTCAAAGACCAGCAGTTCCAGCTGCTATGTTGGAGGTGGAGGATGAACGGTTAAAGCAGACGGTGTCAATGCAAGATGTTATTGATTGGCACTATTTAAATTGGATCAGTAAGTAACATTAGACTGTTTACCTTGACCACCCAGCACCTGATACCGCATTGTTGAAGTAGACAAACAAGAAAACATGACCTGACTGAAATTCGGGGAAGATGCACTCGCACGCACAGCAATGAAGATTCAAGATTTTGTGTGTCTTTGTCTGCAGAAAAGGACAGCTTAAGGACAAATGATACCGGCACCGCCTTAAAGGTCACACAGAAAGGCTACACTGAAAGTTGAGCAATAGTATACTATTTATCTTTATCCCTTAGAGGATAGAAGAAAATCCCCAACTTCCTCACTGTGTCTGTCTAGTCTCTTCTTTTATGTAAATGTTTCATGTTTCTTGTCACTTGAGTATGTCCAGTTTTAACTAAATGTTTCAGGTTTTTGCCAAAATATGTCAGAACAAACAGAACCCAATGCATAGTGACAGTATGAATATTTTAAGCAATTCCTAAATGCTTTTGTATGACCTCTAAACTCATCTTGCAGCCAAGCTTCACACCTCTCTATAAGGAGGGTAAAGGCAAACCTCTCACAGATATTATTAACACGTGCTGGTTGCTATGAAATGAACTGGATTTCTAAGGAAAAGGAAAAAGGATAAGGAACAAATGACTGTGATTTCCAAAGTCTGATTATAATGGCAATAAATAGAACCTAGGAATATAACTAAAAATTAAGAAAAAATACAGTCAGCCTTCGTGTATGATAACAGCAGGAGATATTAAAAACCATGTCAGAGCTAAAGATGGACTTACAACTGCAACCTTGGCCCGGAAACCCATGACGTCCCTCCAGGCGTAGCAAAGGATGTGCGGCAGGTAGAGGACAAAGTAGATGAGGCCGCCGCACGCCGCTGCTAAGTTGGCCTTAGAGAAGAAGACGCTAATGAAGAAGCACTGAGTGATGGTGGCCAGGCAGAACACCAGCAGGAAGACAAAGATTACTGAGGGGTCGCTGTACTGCAGCACTTTGCCATACTGTGTCAAAAGAAACAAAGGAATTACAGGAGAAACACAGAAAGGTGATGTCAATAGAAGACAAAAAAAGTTCAGGGTTTGGTAGAAGAGGCTATCTTGCAGGGAACAGAAAATGATTCAGAAAATGTGATCATTATAGGTTAAGGGGTTTGATTTTTACTGGCAGAGTAAAAGAGTTGGAAAGGGTTAACATAACTGGTGTGTCTATTTCTGATATGCACCTGAACATTTTTCAATTTTTCAGGTTGACTGAATTCTATTATATAATCTCAAAGTCATTAAATATGTCACTCTTTTATTCTACCAGCTTGAAGGAGGACCCTTCTCTAATTTTAGTGAGCTACTCGTGAATCCATCCATTCTCCCACATTACACCATGATGCTGATGTCTTCTCTGAGCCTAATTCAAAGAGGCACTTAAACTGTTAGGATAATGGTGCTATTGCAGTGGATGCTTATGATTAAAAACCTTATAGGGGACATTGTTACATGGAGCTGTATGAATGTTAATTATAGAAACTTTTCCAAATTTGCACAGACTAAATGAACTCTCAAGTACAACTGTGTTAGCGTCAAGTAAAATGATCTCATTTTAGTGCTTAGGTTTCTCTTCAAATTAACATCTTCATTATTTCATACAAAGGTCTCATGAGGCCATGAGACTTGATGGCCATAACTCTCCAAAAGTAGTGTCGGGTCCTCCTTGAATCATTGTTGAATCATTTTGAAATCACCTTCAGGATTAGGGTAAGGAGGAGAGCGCTGACAGCCAGCGGCAGCACACTGGACACTGCCCAGCTCAGCCAATAGATGGAACTTCTCAGTCCCATGATCCTCACGGTCTCCTTAAGCCTCGCCTCTTTCTCTGCGACGATACCCTTAACGATCATGGCCACTGAGTAGATCCAGGCTAAAGTCATGTATAAGGGGAGGGAGCGAGCCAGAGACCGGAGGAACCTGAAGGGCGGACGAGCCAGATCAGACAAGATAACAACCCCACTGACATCTGTTATTGCCGTGGAATCTGTGTCTGCATAATGACATGTGATCACAGACTTCATATCAATATAAATCAGCATTCCCACTATCTCAATTCTGCCCGCATTATAAGGCAGTCTTGTTAACAAACAACCCAGGTCAATGCACTCTCTCTGGTGCTATATGGGCTCTACTTAGTTTTCCTTTGTCAAAGAAAGGTTAGCAAACAGTTTCTAACGGAGACGGAGCAACTCCACCATTCATTTGCGGTAAGGAGACCCCGAGGCTTATGTTTAACATACCAACCATGAGCCGCAACATCCGTTTTGAATCTGTCCAGGGACCTCTCGTTGCATCTCTCCATTATCACCATGTGACATAATAACCCCAAATGATAAGTTAATAAATCATTCATTCATTTAGACTTGCTGCTAAATGTTGCACTGTGTTCCCTAGCTAGTTGCTAACTTTGTCTGCTGAGGAGGTAGCGTACAGTGGGATTTAAGAGGTCTCTTGCTGCCTACTGCTGGAGACGGAACTGATAAGAACAGTAAGACTGGACCAAAACAGTAAAGTTGTGGGCCATATATCCAAATAATGAGCAGGACGATGCTTAAAGGCTGTGTAGGGCTGAGGGGAGGGTGATAATTATTTGTGGGTTCATCACTATTAGCAACAACTTTCAGTCATTAAATCCACTGTGGCAAATGGCAAGTTAAGCACCAGAGGCTTTGTTGACTATGTGAAGCGGTTGCAGTTTGGTTGGGTTTAGGCACCAAAACTACATGGTTATGGGTAGGAAAACATCATCGTTTGGGTTTAGTCACAGAATCTGATAGGTCACAGAGTTTGGTGTTACACCGGCTGCATTTACACCAGGCTGAGATCTTAACACACTACAATCCATAAGCATCCTGATTGAAATGCGCTCTGCATACATTTACTCCTTGCATTTTTTCCTTTTCCAGAGGAGATATTCAGATACAGATTTCTTGTTAGTACCAGAAGTAAATGCGGATGAGTCTATGGCAAAAAGACTGTCTGACATGTCAAACATTCTCACTGTGCAAGTGGTATAACAAGCACTTAAAGACAATCGTGAACGTAGTAATTATACAATGTAAATTTACTCGATTACAAGTCAACTTTAAACGACTGTACTTAAATTAAAGTACATAAACATTATTAGAAAAGTGTACCTAAGGTAACAAAAGTAGCAACATCACCCAGTTAATATGTATAAGTCAGTAGCATTTAATTGTTGTATGACAGGGGGTAGTTTAATATATAGCAATGTATCCTTTATTCCTGAAACTAGTAACTATAGCTGACAAATAAATATGTTGCGCAACAAGTACAATATTGCCCCCTGGAATGTAGTTTAGTGGAAGTAAAAGTAAGTAAAGCTAATGTTCCGACACCATCCATTTCTGTCCCATTTTATTAAATTTTTTGTCCTGTGTGCATGGGTGATTGATGAGACGTCAGAAGCTGTCTTCCGACTGTGAAGGTGGCCTCTGTGTTGTTGTGCACAACAAAGTAATCAAATTTTAATGACCGAGTGCAAACATGGCAAAATATTTGGAAGGTGGTTTCACGTTGTCAAGCCAAGGACACACTGTTTGGGAGAGGGAACGTGTATTGATCATCACTGATCAGTTTTACTTTTCATAACGGAAACCCTGTCAAACAAACAACTTGATTCAGCCGGACTGAGATGGTGGCCAAGTGTGGGAACAGTGTAAATATATCAGTCTGGATTATACATTCATTACCTCCTCCATAATGGAAGAGAAAACAAGTGTAAAATGACAGAGGACTCAGGTGCAGATGAAAAAACTGGTTGTTGTCACACCTAATCCAGATACAGCCTTATGATAATTACCATTTGATTTCCTATTATTATTAATGTGCTGAAAATGGCTGTGAAATTATCATTTAGAATGGGCCTGTGATCTGAATACACATCGTGCTTGCAGTTCCACCTCCAAGGCACTCAACTAACTCAATTTATTGTTATTAATGTTTACAAATTGTTGATGGCTTGCAAACACATTAGGCTGATGGGAAATTACATTTCACCCAGCTGTTCAAATATCAGTTTTTATTTACCAGCCGCGTTTTCCAATTAAACTGCAAAAATTGATTAGGCCGATCTAAAATAACCATCCTTTTTTTATTTCATTAACAATGCCTACGAAATAAGGAGTCGTTGAAGGATGTGCTCTATCTAAAGGAGACCAATGATAATGCTGCTACATCGTATGTCACCAATAGCACCAAGGGTCTCCCTTTTGTGATAACTGCTTTGTGCATCTTTTTTAATCAATCCTTAAGCAGAGGATCCTTCCAACAGATAAGCAACTCCATTATACCCTACCAAATCAATGATTTAACAGAGGGGTCAGAGTGTATTATATTATATATTTCCAGTACATAGACATTTGCTAATTAAGAAAAATGATAATACACATGCTCCACATAACTTACACTGGTCACATTTTCTTTAGCCTCTTTTCTGGGAATAACACCAACACCACTTGGATTTTTTTCTAAAGATTTTCCAGTGACTGATGATATTAGACCCATTAGGTGATTGTACTTGCAGTGCATGATACATCATGAGTGTGATGATGCTGAGATAGGCTTTGGTTGTCTTGAGTATTGCTCTTTCATACTGTGCAAAACCTGTGTACGTTATCCATGAGTTCAATGGCTGGTGAAAAATACAGTGAATCTAAACAAAAGGCTTTGACAAGTAGTCTCAAGTTCATATTATTTCTGAAGAGTTGGTGTCAAAAAAAAACAAAACAAGCAAATATTAATCTTAATTGTTCATATTTGTCTCACATAACCCAATATTTAATTTATTTTACTTTTTCATACAAATCACAGCGCTGTATATTAAAAATAAATAAATCTCACTGCTGCGATTTTAGTCTCCTCTCTGAACTTGAGGTCTCTGGAGTACCGTTCCTCCCACTGATCACTATTACCCTGCAAATTCGATAATGTAAAATAGTGCACAGTTCCAGTGGCCAAAAATAATACATTTCATTGCAATCATGGAAATACAGCACCAATCATTCAAGCCTTCTTTGCTTAAAGCACAGAAGAAGAGGTGATGCAATTACAAGAAATAAAGGTCAAATACTACTGGTGTGATTTTAATTTGACTAAATTGCAGTTTTGGTCGCATGCTCATGCAATTAGGAATCATGAATAATGAGCTGATTATGTGCTCATTAGCTGGTTAGGATTAACAACAGCAAGAATGCCAAAACACAAACCATGAACAATTCTCTGACCTGAATGCCCCGTGAGAGTATAAGATGATTTGGTTGGATGCATTTGGTCAGATGCTGAATTTCTCAGTCCTGCAGCTTTGACAAGCTTCACCCTATTCTCTGTGTTTCTGCATTTTACTTTTATTTTTTTATTCAATACATGAAGATGATGTGTTTATGCTATGTCAATGATGTTACAAATATCCAAAACACATAAAGTATAGTCATGGATGGGGGGAAAAAAAAAGTGTTATTTCTAAAATGTTAACTTTTAAAACAGCTCTACATCCTGTATGTGAAATATTGCCATTGGCTAAGTTCATATTCACTTGTTGATGCTTTGTGTTTTGATACTTTCCACTGCGCGATTTGTTTCTACTGACCTTGACCAAGATACTTATGAGACCACAGGGTATTGTGAGCAGAACAATGTTCTCTGTGAACCTTGCAGACCAAAGGGCAATGTTTTGAATGCCCACAGCACGCAACACTTCCTTGAGCCGCAGTTCTTTCTCCAGCACCAGGCCTTTGATGGTCATGCACACAGTGTACATGAAGGCAAGAACCAGGAACATGGGCAGGATGCCTCCAATACTCTGGACGAAGCTGGTTGTAGAAGAAAGCAATCAGAAATGTCAGGACTGCACATATACTGTAGTAGTTGAGTCGACTGAAGATACATGCATGGACAATTTTTTTCCAGATCCTGCTGAGATTAAATCCTTTAATCCTTGATATAATGTTCAGGGAATCGTAGGCTAACTTTGTAATCGTCTTAATGTGGCGGTTGAAAGTCAGGTCTAAGTCCATGATCACACCAAGATTTCTGGCTTGGTTTGTGGTTTTTAACATTGCCAGAGTGCTGACTTTTAATCGTTCGTCCTTGGCCCCGAAAACAATTACTTTAGTTTTATTAGTTTAACCCCCTTGACGCCTGTATTCGTTTACAATTATATAAAAAAAAGTTGAGTTTTTTAAATTTGTTTTCAAGCTGATGCTAAATTAAGTGGAGATTGTTAAATTGTCTATAGAACATAGAATCGATATAAATTCAGGTATAATGTAGGTATGATGCAAATTAGCAACAACAGGCATAAACGAGAAACCATTGCTTTCAAAAGGTTTCTAGGTACATATCAAATATGCACAAACGGCAGTTGGGGGAAGACATACGTATTCTCAGCTGCAGTCTGAAAGAAAGTGGTGTGATGCAAATTCGCGACCATCAGTGTTATGGGGTTAATTCAAGAACATTCTGGCACATCTATTTATTGATTTGTTTCAATGCACTTACTTAGAGCTTGCATGAGATTATAGAGATGGTTATGTAGATTTGTGTGTCACCTGCATAATTATGGTAACATACTCTGAACAAAATTATAAACGCAAGACTTTTGTTTTTGCCCCCATTCGTCATGAGCTGAACTCAAAGATCTAAGACTTTCTCTATGTACACAAAAGGCCTATTTCTCTCAAATACTGTTCACAAATCTGTCAAAAAAGCCACTCGAAAATGTGTAGTTTCACTGTATTGGGGGGGGGTCCGGAAACCAGTCAGTATCTGGTATGACCTCCTTTTGTATCACGCAATGGCTGTGTGAAGTTGCAGTCAGGTCGAGACCCCACTGTGTCCACTTTTTTTAAGTGGACACAGGGACAACACATATCCTGTATCTGATATGAAGGAACTGATTGGTTGTCTAATTTGTTGAATTTTGTTAATGAAGAAGGCACTAAATTCATTGCAGGTCCTGGTAGATAAAAGTTCACTGATAGTTGGTGATATCTGGAGTGATGGAATGATGATGAGGATTACCCCATAAACAGAATATTAAACTGCAATTATTTTGGTAACCGATTATTAAATTTAAGTAATTTTGTAAGCAAAAATGTTCAATCATTCAACATTAATTTGAGAATTTGCTAATTTTCTTTGTCATATGTGATATTTGAACTGACTTTAGATTGTGGGTTGTACAAAACAGGAAAAATGCTGATATCACCTTGGGCTTTGAGAAAATGTAAAATTAATTTTTCACTATTTTATGACATTTGAGAGAAATCATGATAAATTGATAATAAAAACAATTGTTAGTTGTAGCCTTAGTGGCATTTAACACAAAGATAATCAGACTTTTACATGCATACTCTTTTCTAAAGGTTACCCATTGTAGTCTTAACATGTAGTAAGTAAAAGGAAACTATTTTTCAGAAAAATAAAATGTTATCATTGTTAGGGACAATCAACACAATTGTATTCTCAGATTCAATGGTATTGAGGCATTTTTTATTTTTACACTGAGCTAACCTTCATAAACTTGATGCATCAGCTCAATCAAGCCATTTAGTCCTGCAACTCATGCCAGAGATGATGTATGATTTGATGCTGTTACAACACAAGAAGGCAATATTAAACTGGCTTCATAATGCCACCAAAATGCCATGTCAATATCTTCCCCTCTCCCAATATAACAAAGTGCTTCATTTGCTTTATTAGACAGTGAAGGGGGGAGATCAAATATATTTTGACAAAGTATAGATTTCACTTATACTTGCATTCCATAAATACTGGGGATATAATGCAAGCAAAGCACCGTTCAGCACGTCTAAATGAAGCACAAAGTGACTATGCAGTAATTGTCACAATTATGACCTTCTTTAGCAATTTAACATACACAGTTGATCAACGTACACTTCCATAACATTTTCATTAAATGTATTTGCCTATAATTCTGTAGTTCAAACGAACATCTTTTTTTCCATAATTGTTAGTTAGCCCTGCATGGGTGCATTTTTCAGGAGGTGATTTTTAATCAGATTTTTTCTCCTTATTTGTGAATATATGATGTTTTATACTTTGATGTACTCCTCCTAGCAGGATAACCAGATCCAGTTAGAAGTGGTCAGAAAAGCCTTAAAGACTCTGATGATGCTTTATTGTGAAGATTGTTAAGTATAATTAGTGGGTGAAATTTAACTTCTTGCAGTGTCCAAAAGACATGAAAAGTCAGAGCTGTTACAGGCCTTGAGTAACGACATCGCGGCTGTGGCAATCATCACTGCTTGCAGCTTTAATACTTATTTTTCTACAACTTATTTTACTATAACTGTCTTTTTAAAAACAGCTCTTTCCGCTTTCTATCACCTCACTGCGGCCGCTTTCATTTTCCTGGGTAACTTGACATTGTATCAAGGGATGAGTAGATTCATTTTAAGTTTCAGCTATGCAAAATGTTGTTTAGTATAAACAGATTTGTCAGTACATCAGCTGATGATGAAAGTTTTGGACTGTCTTGCAAACACAACAAAGAGATTAAGTTAGTTCCACTGAGACCTTAGAGGAAGATCAGTTATATGAGAACTTGAATGAGAGACAGATAAGAGTTGTTTTCGGGGACACTTCCGCTACCCTCATGGGATGGATCACTTGCAAACGACACGCCTTGAAAGCAGCGAGGGAAGATTGGTTGACACAGAGTTTTAAAAAGTTCAGATCCAGAGCAACTAAAATCAAAATCTGTTACAAGATTACATATGAACCTGGAAATATAATACACTTGAGCACCTTTTCTAGGGAGGTAAACAGTCTCAAGTAGCAAATGCACCAGGTTGCATACTTATTCTGGTATTATCTGCTCCCTGTTCTACCCTAACATCTCTGTAACAGCTGACAGTCTGTGTGGCTCAACTCATTCTGTGACTTCTAGCACAGGAGGGGGAGAGATCCGTCATGCACACCGTGTCTGACACTGACAACCTTGCCACCAGATGCTCTTGAATTATACATTTGTTGATCGATCAAAGGTGCTTAAGTAACAGAACTCCAGGCGGATCTGCGTTACAGGGCTCCAGTTACATTGGCAGCCTGACCTAAATTTAGGGAAGCTGGAAGACTGATTTCACAGTAAATCGAGAGATAGTAGAGCACAGCCTCCCCAGAGGTTGGCGTACGATGCAAAAAAAAAGAAAAGAAAAATAGCTTCCTTTCCATTTTCAGCAAATTTACCGTTGAGTTCCTTGGCTGGCTGTAACTGAGCAAGTCATTGAAGGGAACAGACTTCATTCAATGCGGATTATCTCATTGCTGGTACAAATGATTGCTTCAGGAAAAATGTGCATGTGGTTATGGCATAGAGAGTACTTAGGACCCATATGTCATGTGTTTTTTCTTTTTTTTGTAACAGCAAAATCACATCTAAAAATTTAAGTTTAATTTCATTATTGAGAAACAGCTGAAGTTTAAATATCATTTTATAGTTTTAAAATGCATATCTTTGTACATTTAGCAGAGAAAAAGTATAAAAACTGTTAACCGTTGATAGTGACGCACTACTTTCATTAGTCCTTGCTGAATACTTTCTGAATAATTCTATAAATATTAATTACAGGATGTGAAAAAAATTTAGACTTGTAAACGCCAAGAACTATTGCTTACATTACAATATATTATTTAACATCAAACTGATAATAAGGAAGGCATCCAATTATGTATTGTTACTGTGAGTTCAAGACCAGTGAGAGATGAAAGCAAGCAAGACAGTTTTGTCTTTATACTTTCAGCAGGCATAGGTTTACACACATATATGCATGTTATTATGCTATATAACGCTAACAAATATATATAAAAGTTTCTGGATTTGCTTTTCAGCAAAAGCTAATGTTTGTAAATGTGAATCCAGTGATTGGAAAGCAGAGAATATCTTCATTTAATTGACAGTGATTCTGAAATGGCATTCTGCTTGTATAAAAAACTGTGAAAAATGATTTTAACTTCCAAATGCACCAAAGCTTTGTATGCTTGGACAGTATGAATACTGTAGCACCTGCCATTGAGCATCTGTCTGATGCTACAAAATGCCACACAGGATTAAACTATTAAATAAATAAACTCATCAATGCACTCTCATGATTTGGCTTGCTGCTTCCCCAGTCCTAGGCCCTGTTTCAGAAAACGGGTTTAGTGAAAACTCTGAGTAAGTTGAGCCCGAGATGAGGGAAACTCTGGGTTTTCGGTTTCAGAGACCGAGATCAGATAAACTCTAGGTCAGTAACCCCGGCAACTTACGCTGTGAACCTAACCTCCTCGGGAGGAGGTTTACTTCAACAAATGTTGAGTTTCTCTCTGACTGCTCCCCTCCTGCGGAGCCTGAAGCGGCTGTCTGACATTTCCTCATTCATACTGTCGATATCAAAGCACGTATTGGAACGCAATTAGGCCTACGTCTTTAGAAACATCGATATCACGGTTAGATAGGCTATAGATCGTTTTGTTTTTTACCTAAACATGATCTTGAACATAACCGCTTTTATGATCAATCTGTCATCGATGTATGGACAGAGAGTTATCTTTGGACAGCACAGAATAAAATCTATAAGCTACACTGTCCTTCTTTATAACACAGTGACTCTGTGGACATAAAGGCAGCTGTCAGGTTGGCAACAGTTGCACAAAAACACTTACCTTGAGCTACATTACAGCAGTAGGCCTAATCACTGTTTAAATTAATCTGTACAAAACTGATCAATGAACAGCAATCTTTCATATTGTAGTCGCACTGATTGGAACATTCGTAGGAATCAACTGGATACGATTTATAAATTTCTGAGTGAGGATGAGTGTGGTGCAGCTGAAACAAATAAACGTAGTTTAAAAGTGAGTTTTTCATTACTAGCTTCATACAGCATTTCATAAAATATGAAATGAGCAAGACTGTATTAATGTAAAACAGACGTCTAAAGCTTTACAGTCAGTTTGGACCGAGACAAATTTTCCACTGCAAAAAATCATTAATAGACTAACCTACTGAGTTGGACTGTGACTTCACAATCACAGTTCCAGGAGTAGGTTATAGCCTAAACTATGTCTAATCTGTTCAGTTAATGTTTTCATCTTCAGTTAGCCTGTTACCACCGGCATTTTGGGATGCAGCTGAATAAATAGGCCTGTAGCCTATTTAAAATGAATGTAATGGGCTGTAGGAGAATTCCACTACTTTATCATTCATTAAGGAAATCCCAGTGTGGTAAATAATTAATGAGCAATGCTGTATAAAATGTAGCCTACCTAATATTGTTAACATATTGATCCTTCCTCTACTCCTGCGTTTTAAAATAAATAGCCTATCATGCTCCGCATTGGGACGCATTCATATTTCTAACTCCACCCGATTAAAATGGAGGCTCTGCCTTTATTTACCTGTTGCCATGGTGAATAGTAGTATCGGAGCTCCATTGACGATGGCTTTTTTTCATCCCCATGCATGCGCTTCCATCAGGTTCAGCATACTCAGAGTTGACTGAATTTATTCTGATAGGCTTTTCTGAAACTGAACACTCGGAGCCAACTCAGAGCTCAGGGTTAAGCTCAGAGTTGGTTTAACCTGCTTTCTGAAACAGGGCCATAGTGTGTTCTGTCTATTTTCCCTCTCCCTTGTGTTTTTATTTTGTCATCTGTCTGTCCTATGTGTGTGGGTGTGGTGCTCCTGGTTCTCTCTCTCCTCATCAGGACACCTGTGACTTCCTACTCACCTGAAACAGATTCTGCAATCACCTCTCCTGTCTTAAACCCCTCTCGCCTCTCTGCCTGCACTCAGCTCCAGCCTCACAGTGGATTTCAAAGCACCATTCCCACCTTTTGTTCACTAAAACCCCCTGTACCTGTTGCTAACTGTGCTGCCGTGTCTGCTCCTGAATCTTACACAGCCCTTACTAATATGCACAGCTGTTATTGTGCGCTTAGCTTCAGCACTAACCAACATGTTGTTTGGCTACTCACTGAAGCCCTGCATTCTGACCATTTACCATTTACAAAATATATATTATCTGGTCATCCTTGTATCCAAAAAAATAAATATACAGCCTATACTATTCATGTCTTTGCTCTCCACTGTTCTCTTATGTAAGCACAGATAAATAATATTTGTTGATCTGGAATTACAGTGCATTATAAGCCCTTCTGGGGCTGTGGCTACAAAGAAGTCTTTCAACATGTAAAGAATCATACAGCAAATATGTTCTGGTGTTATTAATACAGCTTTTGCCCAGAGCACAAGCACTATGAACATGAAACAAAATATCAACAGCTTATTTTGCTTGCTATGAGCTTCAGATGTCTCAAATGTGCTCAACTATTTCAGCCACTCTCAGTAGCAACAATGCCTAGGCTAATTAGCTACAGTAGATGGACAATTGCATATTCCTCCCATATCATTGAGTTAAATATTCCTCACCTCCACTGCAGCCCTATGTTATGCATTGCTGAAAGCAGCCTTAGATCTCACATCAAGCCCATGTGAATGTGAAAGACCTATTGATAGGGAGCACAGCCTCGGGATCCAAACAAGAGATGCCTCTGATTCAGGAGTATGCGATGGCACAGAGGCCGCTGATAAAGGACCAGCAAGGGTCAAGCTTTATCCCACAGCGTCATCTCGGGCCTGCACATAATGTGAATACAAAGACAGCGGGAGCAAATACAGTTTGGTTATCTCATGTTCGAAATGCCAACAGGGTCAGCTGTGGTTGAAGTGGTCCAGATTGCAGGTGCGTTACAGCCAACAGCGGTGAGGAGGAAATGAGGAACGCAAAAGGGAAATGATTTCAAAGGCGGGGTCTGTTGATCAGTATTGGGGTCAGTGCAGATAAGCCTTGGTAGCTGAAGTTTATCAGTGAAGTAGAATTATTATTCTAGCGAAACTAATGTTTTAGATGACAACAGTTTGCTGAGCGTTAATCAAAATATTTTCTGTTGTGTAAATTGTACATGATGTACTCAAACCTAAATAGTAAAAACAATTAATTAAATGACTACAATTCATCTCCAACTTCCACAATGAATAAACTTAATCTATTTTAAAACCTATTATATTTTTCATGTAATACTGCTAGTACAACCACATGTAGTTTTATACATATAGATACTTATTATGTTTATTGTCTATCCATTGTTTGTACATACATGTATATTATTCATCTCTTATTTCCCAGTCGGAGTACATATTGTCTATTCTGAATGCTACGTCTGAAAGTATTTAAATTCTGAAGGTTTTCAATGACATCTTAAAGTCCGATTTGACCTTTTTTCTAAACTGAGCAACAGTTACACAGCAGACCGCAAACATGTTCATCTGAATGCACAATGTTCTTTCCTGCCTATTAGCTGGCGGTTCAAGATGAAAATAATTACCACCCATCATTCGTCTCTGTGCTGTAGCGCATCTTCCTTTGTGTGATTTCACTCTCAATTATTTATAAATGAAATAGCAGTTTTCAAGTGTTAATAATTTATAGAAATGCCCGAATGGCTAGGCAGGCAAAAGAGTAAATGGTGGAGGGACTAAGGGTATTGCGGTGCTTTATGGCTCCCATTTATCTTCTGTGATTATTAATCATTTGTTTTAGGATGATGAAACTGAGGCGATGTGGCTGGCATTAGCAAATAAGCTGTACCATGAATGTCTAATTTCAGATCTTTATCACAGCAATGAAATTGGTGCTTTTTATTTGAAAACCACTATCAGAAGTGGCATGCTGAATATGAAACAGGCAACCTCTGAAAGTGCTGTGCATTACTAGGATGTGGAGGAATGTGGTGCCAAGATTGGTTGTTATTGTTCTTTAAAGAAAGGTACAGAAAAAAAATGCACAAAAAGTTAATAGTAGGGATGTCAGTCTTTCATCAGCAGTGTTTCTAGCCGCTAATGTATGGAGGAGATGATTTTGCGCTTAAGTTAATTCAAAATGCCAAAATTCCTCTCAGATGAATATCTCCACTGGGCGAAATATTTAGTTCAACTTCCCTCCAATTAGTACTTCTGAAACTGTCCTATTCACTGGCATGCCAAACCAAGTGCACCCACTTAGGCAGTTAAAATTAAAATATGAAATATGTGTCTTAAACCAGGTTTACTGAAGCAGCTACAAAATAAAGTGCAATGCGGTGAGGCTGCTTTTAATCTTGAAGGCACAATGAGAATATAAATCAGAAGGAAGTAAACACTTCATAAAGAACCACCAAAAAAACCCTCAGATGATGAAAACCATATTAATAAATCCACTACACTGAATATGCTTTTCATAGCACTGATGGGTTTTCTATGTCTTCAAGACAAACATGTGGTACCAAATAGGGCATTATTATTCAAAACATGTATTTCAACAACCCCATGCTTGTAGATATTAGCAGCCCAAATGCATCTTCAAGAGAAAGTCTTCTTCTTGCTTCAACCTCTTTACATATGTTGAACCAAACACCCTCTGAAGGTTGCTTTACTGTAAATTCTATGCTATTCCAAGTTCATAATATTTTTAAATTAGATCCCTAATCTCTGGAACTGAATTTTCCCACGGGGTGTCAATATTTTGTCTCTACTGAAAGGGGCGTATTGTGTTGTTGGACTTAAACCTCGCCGGTAATTATCTTTTCTCTTGTTGGCGTCACTGAGCTTTTCCTTTATTAATGGAGATCATAGTGTTGTGTGGATGTGCGTAATTTCCCAGACTCTGAGGAAATCTTGGCTGTGGAAGATTAAGACTGATACCACCTCATCTCTGTCCCCAGGTGAATGGTCTAACATGATAGAGCCCAGTATCAATGGATGCACAACACAGATGGAGTTCTGCTGTCGATCTTTGCATCAGACGTGGGATACGCTGTGCTCACTTTGTTGAGAATGAAATGCCTCAGAAATACAAGGAAGTACGGTTCTCATGATGGTTTGTTAAATAATTCAGCATGCATTAACTATTCAACATTTCCTGTGGTTTGACTAAAATCAATAGTTTTGACCCACTCTTTTCTTCTAGCAACCATCATTCATTTCTGTTCATTTGCTGATCCTCAGTTCCTGGTTAAATGTATCCTGAAGGATGTTTTCATTATTGACTTTTAACAGTGGCATCATTAGAGGAGTTCCATTCAAGCTGTGATCAGCGACGGCATAGGAGCAACATAGATATTGACGTTTCCACAGGGAAATCTGGGGGGCCTGAGTGACTGATAAGAACATAACTCAACTCTGTGGTGGCAGTGAGTGGCAACTCCCAAGAGTGAGCCGCATTTTATTGCTGTAATACCTCCTTTCTCTTTCACTAATCACAAGTCTGACAGATAAGAGCTTTTGTACTCACACGTCATCCACGAAGCAAGGGTATGGCATTTGCTGGGCATATACGCCAAGGGGTTGGGTCTTTGACGTTTGCACTCGTATAATTCCATGGTCCATCATATCCTGCAGGTAGGCGAAGCCTCCCCATATATAGCGCAGGTCGTTAAAGGAGTTGTCTCGGGCCCCAGGAGACCATGACCTTATTAAAAGCAGACACACCATGATCTGTCTTGGCAAAGGGCAAGTAAACTACAACCAGAATGGTCAGGAAGACTGTCAGAGAATCATGACTTTTTTAAGAGGTCATATTTTTTTTACACTCAACTTTAAAATACAAAAACTCTTTTGTAAACAGAAAGGACATCAAACCCAGCATCTTCTTCAATCTTTGGGCTTAAATGAATACTTTGACATTTTGGAAAATCTGCTTATCAGCTGTCTTGCCAAGAGTTGTGAAGATTGATACTGCTCGAATGTCTGTACATTAAATATGAAACTAAAGCCAGCAGGTGATCAGATTATCTTTGCACGAATACCAGCACCTCTATTTAACACAGCTCTCTTTAAATCTTGTTAGGTTAATTACCAGCATTTACCTTTAGTCAGAGCCAGGCTAGCCTCTTCTCTAGTCTTACGCTAAGATAAGCTAATCATCTTTTAGCCCAAGCCTGATCTCAGTCTTTTCATCTAACTCTCAGCAAGAATGCGAATAAGCTTATTTCCCCAAAATGTGAAATTATTCCATTAATTCTAGCAATGAAATGTGTTGAAAAATAAAAATAGTTACAGTTTTTCACTAAGTAAATGTTAATGTATTAAACAGAGAGGCTGAGCTGTATCACATACCTCTCTTTCACTTTGTTGCTACGCTCTGCCTCATCGATGTCCATGCGAATTTTGTATTTGACATAAGGAGGGGGACGGCTGGAACCAGGCTGGAGGTTTTCAAAGACAACACTTGCCCAATACGTACCATTCTTCAGAAGCTCCAGTGCTTTCCTCACCAGATGGCCTTCAGTGGGGGCTGCCTCAAACTTATTCAGGTCTAAACACTGTCAACAAATACAGAGGTATCAAAAAAATGCATTTCTTTTCTATAATCTTCTTACAGGAAATCATTCCCATTTTATATACATTTTTAGTATCCACAAAAGAGGGGATAAAACAGAAGCAGGCATGAACTCACTGTCAGAATGGCAGATGGATATTTAGGGAAAAGTATCACTCAGCTATTGACTGAACCACGCAGACTCTAGTTCCAAATTATATGGAGCTGCCAGGGGGTGGGAAATGTTTTGGGCTTCATACAAGCAAATGAGATACAGCCTTACTAGCACTCCCTGTTCTGTAGCCCTGTCCCCCTGTTTCATGAGACGATAATGAGCTAGCCATCCTGGGAGGCAGTCACACCTGACAGCTGTCTGTGCATCTCAGTGCTGCAATAGTTTTATCATGTCTCCCCCAGGATTCCCTAGTCTGTATTCCATATCAGAAATCACAGTAACAGCATTACTTCAGTACATACTAGTGAGGATATCAAGGGCAGGGGAATGGTTACATGAGGCCAAAGTTTGGACGAGTGATGAGTGAAATACATGGAATATAATGCTCTACATAATCCAGGTAAAGGAGCTACATGTTAACTGCAACATCTGATGAATAATTTAATCATAGTAGATCACCATTTGAAGTAACTAGCAGTAAAAAACGATGTTCTTACGTGTATAATAATATATGGTATCGCATTCTACTGCATTTCCAAATGGCCTTCAGACACTTTCATGTGCCTATTTAATCTTTAAATATCAGCACCATTCTCTGTCACTACAAGCCTTACCAATCATGATGTTTGTAGAAGGCAAGATTGTTTAAACATTTTGGGTTGCTTTCCTTTCGTCTTTGACCACTGGGCCAGCAGCTAAGGCTAAGCTGTGCGGTATCATCAATCTGACTCCGGCTCTGGACTGAGAAACTGGTGGCACTGATAGCTTTGCCAGTCTTGGCCTACTTCAGAGGAACAACCAGGACAACACACTGAGTTGTTTTGGTCATGGTAGCATCATGCTTGTAGAGACTGTGTGCACGCCACAGACTGATAGTTACGTGATAGGATTAGCATGGGTGTCTCCCAATTACATTATAAGCATATGATGAAGTTACTTGCCAACGTAGTGGTCAAGTGGCTGAGCAAGTGTTAGTTACAAGTTCTTGTAAAAGATCTACTATACATACTACAAATAAACTTTATTTGCTCATGTTGGAGAGACTTCAGAAGGTATAGTAGTTCATAAAGTCATCCTTCTATAAGTCATCCTGACAGAAATGAATCAAGTGTCCGTAAGGTTTAACCAAACATTACTATATTGCACCGCAACATGCTTAATTGGCAACAGACCAGTGTAATCTGAAGCTAGATATGGAGTTTCATTCCCAGGTTTATGAACATTTTAAATTCAACTGTTTTATTAATAGCACCATGATCCTATTAAATTGTGGGACAGTTCATAAATGAAGCAGGGCAGCACCAGTTTGTAGGTCTAATTTAGGTCGCTGCTATTAAAGGGATGCAGCCCGATTCTTCAGTGTTTATGACGGTGGTGGCACCATAGAGATAATCCAAGTCAATTCTAAAACTAGCTTATATGCTTTTCACGTGTCATTTCACGCCATTCAGTCTCTACTGACTTATATTGTGCAGAGACGGCTGTGTTATTTTATGCGCAAATGTCAAAGAGAAAAACATCTGTCAGGTGACATAGTAAAAAGAGTGAAAAAGGCTGCGGAAGGACGAGGCTGGGGTGGATGGATGGGTCAAACAAACAAAGCATTTTCACCCAGCAGACCGCTGTTCAGTGTCCCATGTGAAATCTTATTATAATGTATGCAAGTTAACTTATATACTTATTTACCTGTGGCCCTAATTTGCATTACTATATTGAATCTTATCATCTTGAATTGCCTTGTCAAGGCTGAAAGTATATGCTGTTCAGCCTTAAAGGTTCAGTGTGTGGTATATATGAGGCTCTATTGACAGAAATGCAATATAATATCCATAACTATGTTTTCAGTGGTGTAAAAAGACACCATTACATGGTGGGTGAGAATATAAGGCATTATAATTGATGCCATTGTTATGGTGTTCGGTTAGCTGAGTTGGTACACGACTCTTACCCCGAAGGTTGTGTGTTTGATCTCACCTTGGGACATTTTTTTTTCTCTCTTGAACAAATGACGACTTTGTCATTTCCCCAGTATCTCCAGGCAGACGACATTTAGGGGAAATCAAGTTTCAACTTTCAGAGGTGTGTCAAGCAGGCTACAGACTCTTTTAAGTAAAAGCTCTTAGTTCAACTCCAAGTAAAGCATTACAGTACAAAAGCATCTCACACTTTTATTTTGTAGGTAAAGCCACTAAAGAAGAAGTGATTATGTGAGAAACTGTTGCTGTTATGACTGAGATCTATTTGAGCACCACTATCAAAGTATTTATTTATTTATATTTTTTGCCGCTTTGAAAGCACCGTAATCTGACCGCGGGCCACATATTACTGCTGGCGGGCAGTTTTGACGAGAATACATAATCACAGAAAGAAGTTAGCTAGCTAGCTACGTTCGTGATAAAGGTGTTGACAGCCCCCCGAAGCCCCTACCCTTACCATAACCATCAGAAATGTTAGTACCTAAACCTAAGTCAATGACTTTATGCATGTTGAGCGGCTAACCCTACAGCTGCGCTGTAGTGTTTCCTTTGTAAATATTCAACATATTCTCATCTCAATGCGTCATAACTGACGCTTTTAGATGCCGTGACAAATGTAAGGATTTTACGCTAAAGGCTACCATTCAGCCTCTGTATGAAACGCCCCCGTTTGCTACGTTGCAGCAACACAAGGGAGGCTAACCATAACTCTTATCACGGCCGATGTGCGCAGCTCTATCTATTACATGGTTTATAATGGACTGTGTTATACACTCTTGGCTTACATTTTCCATCTATCAGTGGCCAATTCGCAATAACATATGGTTTTACTGAATAATTAAGAAAATATAATTGCTTAATATAATCTACCTAAAGAAACCTAATTTCCTTATTGGCCACTCTCTGCTGTCAAGACAACCCCTTTTGTGCTCTGTCAGCCACCGTAGCTATCCTACGCTCTTTGAAAGGGTAGGGGGCAGTGGTAGACTGGACAGATGGTTGCAATTCGCAACCTTCACTGCTAGATGCCACTAAATCTTACACACTGAACCTTTAAGACTGAAAGAAGCTCTCTATTTCACTACAGATGTATACACCAGACAAGAAGACATCACAGTAAAGGATGTCTAATAACTGTCCTTATCCGGGTATCCATTTTGCAATTTCCATCAGGGCAGAAAATGGATTGCATTATGTTGGAATTTCATTGGCCATGTATGGCTAACCCCAAGGGCCCAACCTGCCATCTTACCTGCCTGTGGATTGATAAGTGTGTTCATGTGAGTATGGCAGGTGGTGTGGGTGGTCTTTGTACATGTGTTTGATCACACAATGTAGATAAAGAAGGGTTTTGCTGCAAACTGTGCCACAGATCAATATATCAATGTCAATGTGTGTGTGTGTGTGTGTGTGTGTGTGTGTGTGTGTGTCTGTTCCGGCATCACTCTGTTTAACGCCTTTAAAGTTTCACTATACTCGGGCACATAACAATGTTTTTCTATGATTATCATGGAAGCAATGTAGCGACAGATCTTCCTGTGTACTTGGCAGTTTGCTAAGTCAAGGATATTAAACTTTAATGAATGAAAAACCAAAGTCTTTTCATGCTTGTTCTCCAAAAAACACGAAAGCTGATGGAGCAAGCAAGATTTAAAAAACCGCATGTCAAGAAAAGTCTTGATTTTGGTTTTAACAGCATCAGAGCACAGACACAGCATCAAAAGAGCTAAGAAGCAAAAAGCACTGTGCTGAACATGAACGCATTGTGTCTTAGATGCAAAGCACCCTGCGTACTTACTATAGCACCCCTGGTTTTCTGCCAGAGTTTTGTCAGAGTTGTGAACAGAAAGATACAGGAGTAAATGAAAATTCAGCAATCATGTAAGGGATACAGGATATTTGCCAGATCACTGTCTCAAGTGTGTAAGTAAAAATATGTGTGGTAACTGAAAAGCTGACACTGCAAATTGTTTGCATATCCTAACTGGGAAATTGCCATTGACGTTAAATAACGTAAAATAAATTGCAATTTTAATTAATGTTTAAAGCCCCCTCCGGTGTATTTAGACATTTCTATGATATTTCATATTTTTCTGAGTCATTTCCTTACAATGTTGATTATCCCCATTGTTGTTTGTTAAAACGGGGTTGTGACGTATGACTATAGTAATTCCATAAGTCATACGTCATTGCATACGCGCACTGTCGTGCCTCATTAAAAAACTGTCACGCCGTCACGCCCCATTAAGTCAGAGCATCAAACCGATAAACATGGTTGTGAGCTAGCTAACCATTTTATCATGTAATTTACTTAGAACTTACAGTAGGTATGTCTCTCTGTGTCCGATTGTTGGTTTGTCTTTCTAGTTTAGTTAGCTAAGTTAACTTAGTTGGAGTTAGACAGGCGTAGTTAGCTAGCATAGTTATTGCAGAAAGTTAGCTAACAGAGGGTCTTCATTTTATTTTTTAGTTTCCTGTGCTGTTCATTTTCATTATGGCATTTGTGCTTGTGGTGTTGGAGGAGAGATGACAGAAAACGCGTCGCACTTTCACCTGCCACCGTATATTATACACAGTCGGCAACATGCATTTTACTGACGGCCGTTTTACCAATGCATCAGCGGAGGCACCCACCACACCCCCGCGGTAAAGTAAGCACACCATAAAAGGTAGTGGGAGTTATCGCGTGCAGTGCGTAACAGGACCATCGACTGTATGATTGGTAACAGCTGATACACGCACATTAGTTTCTATCACGGGTAAGTAATAGCTACTCCTGCCAGACAGTGTAACGTTATAAACTTTACAGTGTAGTGACAGCATATCGTTAGTGAACACTCCAGCCGGTCACTTTTTGGTCGTCATGGTAATGTATACATCCGACTATTAACCACACCCCCATTCTCTGCTTGAGAAAGAACGTTCACCAAAAACGGCAGTTAAAACTGGCTGGAGGGGGGCTGTGCGTGTCTACATGCTGCTGCATTGGCTCAGCATGGCTAAAGTTAGCTCATCCATGGCAAACCAGCTACCCAGAAAAGAAAGCTGACACATGAGAATGTATCAGCTTCTTTTTGCTGAAATTTTAGTTTTGTTTGAGCACTTTAAAAGGTTCACACAGCACTTCTTTTTAGCGCCAACTCCAACCAAAGAACTCACATGGGTAATATCAGGTGAATCTGATTAACAACAGAAGAGAGAAAAGAGAGGCTAAAAGAGAACAGAGGCATGAGGGAAGAAAAAATGTGTATTGCGAATTTCCTCACCAGTGAGAATTGCGTTTTAAAATAAATCTTAAATGTCAGAGACCAGCCTATTCTTTTTTCAAATCAAATCTTTCACTTGACTGAAGAGGTCACACAACCCTCCGGTGCATGAGTAGTCTGAAAGCTAGGTTCATGAGGTGATACACATTCAATAAAAGCACAGGCAAAAGAATTACATACACCAAGGAAGTTGGAGAGAAGCTTTAGGGTTTGGGTAGCGGTGTTGTAAACATCCCGCCAGTCGTAGGATGGCATGCCAGGTGGACGATCTTCTGGAGGCCCGTTGTATAGGGAGTTGGCAAGCAGCTCGGCAGTCCATCCTGTGCCGTTGAGACGCTGGTTGAGGACAGCAGCAAACAATGGATTCGCCAGCAGAGCCTGATTTAAAAAGCAAAGAAGATGGGTTCAATTATTGTTAGTCTGGTTAGTCTGTGAGGTTTGAAATGAATGTGTTGTGAATGCAATGAAATCTGAATGAGGACTGAAGCGTTTTAGAAATCACTGTATTATTTTAGAAGAGAAAGCATGGGAGGCCAGCTTTGGACTTTGATGGCAGTGACATTCATTCTTCTGCAGAATAAATTAGGAGCACTATGATACATGTCATTGTTGTACATTCATGCTCTGCCTAGCCCCTTCACTAACTTTATAGGACACTTGTATGTGAAGCCAATTTTAGTCATCTCAGGTCATAGATTGAAAGCTTCAATTGCTGTAATCATGCAACTAATTCATAAAGATGATATGCTGATCTAGTAGCAAATATTATATTGCTAAAGTCCTTCAAACCCACATGGTTACTATATATTTTATCTATGTATTTTTGTTGTGAGAAATAAACAGTTATAAGCTTCTCAGACAATAGCTACTGCATAATAAGATTACTTCACTCCCACCTGTTGGTTTAAATGTGTTACCCTGTATTTAGTAGCCACCACAACCACTCCCCTCACTCCCACTCAGTATTTCCACAGTTTCAGGCTGCTGTGAAATTACCGCCCTCATATTAATATAACACAGTTACCATAATGACAGTTACAACATAAACGGAAATTAAACTTAACGGTGGTAATTTACCTGTCATGTACACAGAGGAATACTGAAAAGAAATCTAATCCCAGTGAGATAATAAATTATTTAAAACACCTACTCCATACACTTAAAAAAAAAAAAAAAAAAAAAAAAAAAATATATATATATATATATATATATACACACACACACACACCTACTCTTTCCAAACAAAGTATTCCATTATGTGTATAGTTCACACTTGAAAGTCGACCATGAGGACGGGAGAGGAAAGGGCGCTGTACGTCATCCAAGAATTGGGCCTTTAAAGTGCAAAATTGTGAGTTGAGATTCAGATATATTCTGGCCAGAGTGCTCAGTGGCATTTCAGTGTCAACACTTCTGATGATATTCTCCTTAACCTTAGGACAAAGTGTCAAATTAAGTAATCTCCATGCAGCATGTGACCTTTTAAAAAAAAGCATACTGGGTGCTACAGTAAGGACATGACCCATTAAAAATCAGTGTATTTTAAAGTCTGAGACATTTTGAAATAGCAGTAGCAGAGTCGCGCTGGCAAATTGACTGTAACTGTAACTGGCTCAATAATTGAAATCTTCATCTAGCCACGACTGCATGTGGCCTAATTTTCAGTGGTATTTGACAGGTTACATGTCGAGGATATAAAAGTTATTTTCGAAAAAAAGTATGGGTCCTGTTTTATATATATATATTATAGCTTTTAATTAAAGCAACAGTTAAAGTTACAATCCTTAAGAAATCAAAACCCATTTTTGATACTATTATTATTAGCATTTTTCTGCAACAGTTCATAGCAAGAGTTCTGAGTATTTCTAACTTGAATGGCAGTCAAATTGACCATATGCATTATAGACGGTGTATCATTTCAGTGTTTGCTCCTTTTTCCCGCTCTTAAAGATACCTCACTGAAACAACTTTTTGCTATTTCAAAGCTAAAACCTAGCTTTAGATTCATCTAGAGGAGGAACAAAATCTATCAGCCTAAAACCAAACCGAAATGATTGAACAGGACATTTGTGACAAATGTCACAAGGTAGTGTGTGGCAGCACGTGGAAGGTAGGACATTACCTGTGTTGACTCAGAAGTGTCAGTGAAATTTATGCATGGTGTTTGCCCCCCCAAAATCGGTTTTCTTGCAGTTTAGCAAATTTTCATGTTCTTTACCTTTGACGGTTAGATTGACTGTTTTGGCCATTTTGGGATATTTATGTGTTTCATACGCGTCCATAAAGGTTTTTACTATGCATTACTATGAAATGCATTATAGTGATGTTTTTATAAATTACTGTATCGTGTTCTGATATTTTTTATTACCTATCCTAACATTATATATCCATTTATTCTTACATTTTATATTGATTATTGAAATTATATGCAAATAATGTATGAACGGTCAGATTGACTGTAGTAGCTATAGAATTCTGGCAGTTTCAGTGTTAAAATCATTTGATTGGTGAAACTACAAAACAAGAGATTTTGGGATCATTTTTAAAATGACACAGAGCTATGGAACAAGAAGGACCAGCCATAGTGAGCTGTTAAATGAAAGACATTTTTTGGAATGACACCTCCAACCACTCAACAAGGTCACACATTTCACTGTGCCCTACAGGTGTTGCCAAACCAACTGCACTGAGTACTGAAATCTTAATGATCACAACTTTTTATGTGTAAACACTATGTAAAGGCATGGGTAGTTACACTATGTCCAACAAATTTTCAACCACTCTTATTTGTAAGCCATTTCTGTCCAGTGTGTCCTATTCAGCTCTACATCCTAAATCTTCTATCTCAGATCTAGCTGTGGTGGTGATAGTAATTGGTCCATCAACGTAAAACATGTCTGCGACCTTGAAGGACCTCTGAAGATGACAAACCTCCGAAGCCACCAGCTTCGTAGCGAGAGGTGGAGAGAGAGAGCCGGGCTGGGAGAAAATGAAGACAAAGGAGGATTGCCGGCCCATTTGTGTAAAGGTTAGGGCTAGGGTAATGAATACCCTGGCTATATGGAGCTCCCGATGTCTGCTTCCCTCCAGCTGCCTATAAGCTCATTTGGAGTGACACTGGAGTAATGTCAGTGTCAAGGAAATACGGCAAGAGGCAAAAAGTGAGAGGGAGGGAGGGAGAGAGAGAAGTGGTGGCAAAGAGTCCATGTCCTCTACTTCTAGATAATCCTTTCTGCCAGGATGAAAATTATCCTGCACTTATCCATAATTACTTTCCTCCCTCTGTTTCCATATCTGACAGAAGGTGTAACAAATTGATATACACAACATGTATATTCTCACCTGCAGTATTCATGAGGCTCATCATTTTTTACTTAGTTTTAAAAGTACTAGGAAGCTGAATTATTGTATGCACCTATGCTTCAAAAGTCGTTGCACCTTTTAGCCCAGCTAGGAAAATGCAGTGACGTGGAGGGAAAAAAAGCAAAATGAGCCGCTGATCAAGAGCCAGAGTCTTTCTATATAATATAAAAGTTATAATAGGCTGATTTTTACTTTTGGACAAAGTTTTTATGCTAAGCTAATGGTCTTTTGGCTGTAGCTTCATATTTATCATACAGATATGACAGTATTATCAATCTAACTGTGGGCATATTTCCCAAAATCAGTACTGCAGGTGAAATTAGACATTAGCATACATTAGCATATTACATTTTTACAATCTGAATAAGTGTAACTTCTTTAGATTTCCGCAAAAGTAAAAGTGTCAGCATTCCGAAGCTTGTTACCTGTCACAATCTGTTTAGAAACCACACACTAAACCTTTCTGAATACCTAAAAATACATACATATAAAATGTGGGCTACTGTGATTTAGGTCATTTTTTTATAGTGCTTCTCAGTGCAGAGTCTTACCCGTACTGAATTGACTTGAGAGCTATTTTGAAGGAAATCCCGGACACGTGGCCCTAGTTCATCCCACAAATCAGCGAGCTCTTTCAGCATACCCAAAGCGTTGAATGTGCTATTTGCCTGAAACAAAAAAAAATAAAAATATTTAACAATACAGTTATCTCACCTTTCCCTGACTGAAAGCATACCCGCTGAGCCCTTTCTGTTCGCTCTGTGCCAATCCAGACATGAAAGTACTCCACATCTCCACATTACAGCTAATCCCTGGAGGAGCTCATCACAATGTAACACTCCCGCCACCCCCATGGTGTCGAATGTAAATGGGGTTATTTACCCCTGAACATTGACTTGTAAACAATCTGACTGTATCTGGTGTGAAAAGGGCCTCCTTCGTCAGCACGGGGCGCTTGCTGTGAAGTCGTCAGATTTTGCTCACGCTCATTATGCATTCTCGATGCAAAATTTCTGACTGCCTGCCTGTTGTTTGTTTTGCTCATGCAGTTATCAAAACGATGCTAATAGCTTGGAGAAATGTCATGTCATGAAAATGCATTACATTTACCACGTTCTATGAACAGGCTCCTGACTAACTATTGCATTACTGTTATTGTCTTCCCCATGTGGAAACTTGTGTCGTGCAACATCCAGTGTTTTGTTTATTCCCCCAATGGAGGCTTCTTCACATAATTACTGATACCTGCAATTGGCCTGACCCTGTGCATACAGGGTATTCAAATGCGTCCACAAACAAAAAACAAAAAAAATTCTCTAAACTTGCTCATATCATACACTGATATCACCAATATTCAGCTGCTTTCCAAGTGCTTGAGAAGTCAGTGTGCATGTAACTATTTTAAATTGCTCTCGCTACACTAACCTCTTTCACCATGAGGCGAGCAGCAGGTGTATCAGGTGTATAGAGGACTTTCCCTTGTAGTAATGGCTTGAAGGTTCTCCAAACATAGCGCAGACCAGGTGTGCCCTCCAGGGTGTCAACGAGAGTCTGACAAAAAGCATCTACATAAGAGAGGAAGAGAGGGGAGAAGACAGGGAAAGTCAATGTAAGACCAAGAAAGAAAAACCCCTAATAATCTCAGAATCCTGTGTGCATACTGTACGTATGCTCTTTCATGGGACAAGAGGAAAGATTTGTATGAAATCAGAAAATTTGCAGCACGCAAGAAGAAAACATGAAAAATAAAATGTGACTACCATAACAGCCCTCTCCATACTTTATCAGAGTGAGAAAATGTGAACATAGTACAAAAATCACACGTGTAAAAGTTAGGGCAGCTCAATTATGGCAAAAATCCTAATCACAATTATTTTGGTCAATATTGAGATCACAATTATTCAACACGTATACGTATCCAAGCTTCTACTGTTGCCATGGAAATTGATTTCAAATGCCTTGTGTTTTTTTTATTCCAAAATGCCTAAATAGCCAATGAAAAAAGAAATAGTAATCCAACATATTAACACTGAACAGCATCTTAGAGCGCAAGTGCTTAGGTAACACTGAAATTCAACCGTGGTGTTCTGTCAGGAGATGCAGTTACTTAATCTAACGGTGAGTCAGAAATAGTATAAATAATATGTCGTTTGTTGAGCTATGAGCAGAGGAAAAGTATTGTAGCATATGTCTTACCTGAGTTTATAAAATGAAAAAAATCTCATGAAGTGGATATTGGCTTTACTGGTAACTGGTGTTTTATTACGCATCAGTGACCACAAAATGGATGTATTTACAAAACGTTGGTTGATTATTACTTTTAAAAAAAACACACACAGGCAGAGGAAAACACAAGCCAAGAGTTGAGACCTGAGTGCATAAGGAAATGCCTCTATTGAGCAGAGGAAAAAAAAAGTCAATATGCTCAGCAGCAGTACGATCATTACTAATTTAACTTATCTGCCAACGTGAATATTGCCAGGTTGGGAGAGTGCTGAATAGGTTACATGAGGACCTGCACTGCAAAGAATGTGGCCTGTAGTAGAAAGAAAGCTTGTGTATGGTTCTATCTCACACAGGCTCCGCCCTCTACTGGACTCTATGGGTACTACCTCCTCCAATCACACGCATGCCCTTGCCCACTGAAATGTCCATGTCCTGCCAGGACGAGTCCATGCTCCCTTCCCCAACCGCAGGTGGGGAAGGGAGCATGGTGGGGAAGGGAGCATGACTGGCCAAGTGACCGTTATGGAGGGAGAGAGGCCTGCTGACGCTGCCACAATCCCCCCTCTGGTGTTCAAGACGCCATTGTTTTACTTGTGCTGCTTGTGTAAAACTATGGTAAGGCTTTTGAGAATGTCGAAAACGTTTTTTGAGTAAAACATGTTAATAACATTCCTCAAAGAGCTAAGTTAACTCCTCTCATCAAAGAGCTAACATTAATTCCTGGGGTGAGGCTAAGGTTTGGCCCTGCGGCCTTGTGTTCACGAAGCCACTCTTGTGCTGCTTGTGTGTACACTGTGGTGATGCTTGTGAATGTTAAACTGTTTATTAGTGCTAATTCCCCACCACCAACCCCATACCATTGAGCTAGCCGTGTCAAACACGGCTCTGCACTCACCGACGCTAAGCTAACGGTTCGCCCCGCGGCCCACGCCGCTTTCCCGGTCAGAACCGAGTGAGAGGGTGGGTGAGGCCCAGGCGTCCGCTTCGCTAGCCTGACCACCGAGTCCGCGCGGCCATAATGGTTTATCCTTTCTAAAGGAAGTGTCAGAAAGTGTTGTGAACAAAGCATTGATACAACATGAAATTAATAACGGTCAGGGATCCTTACTGAAAATTAAAACACTGCAAAATTAACTTGTTTAGATTCTTTTCAACAACAAGTAACACCAACATGGTAACATAACTACTCAAATGGAGTGGAGAGACCTAGTCAAGTAACTAAAAGATTTAATTAAACAAGGTAATGCTTTGAGTTTTGAGGAGACAGTACTCTTTTGTTTACACAAAGGAGTTCAGGGCTGTCCTGTGTCCTGGAGCTCCTCCCCAATTTACATCTGGCTGTGAAAAGGAGAATATCCTTTGATGTGAGATAATTAAACAAAGAGCAAGGTTAGTTGCCGTGGTTATGTGTGTGGGGGTTAGTTTAGGGTTTCCTGCCCCCTTTCCAAAAAGGATTCTGATAGGCTGTTCAGGAGAAGCTAATCTCTTTTTAGTGTTTCTTTGTCATTTTAACAGTCAGCCACCAAGCGTTTTCTGGCTGCGGCATCAGAGGTGGCAAGTTTTATGGTCGAACTGCCCAGAAACAGCACTTAGGGAGAGAAAACCTTTCACCTCCTCCTTGGAGTCGCTTCAGCTGTCTGTTGAGGGTTGATATCCCAAACCCCCTCCTCATTCTCTCAGAGAGAGAAGGAATTTTGAGTCTCCCAATTATTTGATATAAAATGCACAAATCTGCACTGTTTGTACACTACAGCCTGTCGGTTCACCCCAGCTGCATGCTAGTTCTTGGTGTCCACAGTGCAGCCGGATTGAGACAACATACCTCCTTTGTTCTTAAGGACATAAGGAGCATGTTCAGTTCCAGGACAATAAATCTGGATGCTTTCTACCCCACTTAGGGTGCAGGGAGGTGAGAGTGCATCTCTTGTGTCCATGTGTGCTAGACTAACGTCCTGTGTAGAGCACACAGCCCCCATTCGATGCACTGGTCAGCTGTTCGTCTGTTTCAGTGCAGTCAGTTAAACCCTGTCCAAGAAGAGCCTGGCCAGCTGGCTTTGTGAGTGAATCTCCCAAGCCTGTACACGGGCGGGAACAGACCCACCCTTAGCGGTGCGTGCACATTCCAAGTGGAAGTGTCTACAACCCTTTTTCAGCGGGGTGTGTGTCGAAGAGATCTGCACAATGGCATCTTGGCACTTACTGTGCCCGTTTGTGCGTTTCTATCTCTTGGATATGTCGGGCTCCTTCTCGGGATCCAGCTCGCAAGTGCGACCTAAGATCTGAAAAGTGAGGATCTGGTGACTACTGGGTGTAGAGGGGGAACATACACTGGCAGTGCCTGACGTTTCAGTGAGAAGTCAGGGCAGTGCAGGTCTTAATGGTCAGGCCAAGCCCCTATCGGTCCAGCGACCTTCTCAGGGGTGTCCCACCATTCTGTCACTAGGTCATGTGGTGGTTGGGGCGGTCGGATGCTGAGGTAGTAGGAACACTGCTATTTATACGTCACACACGTATCGGTAGCGATGTCCTATTGGTCAATTGTGCCTGCCTTGTTGTCTCTGAAAATATGTGATGCATTGTGGTACAGTAGTCAGACAATTGATCAGTTCAGTGTGTCATCATGTCAGTCAATATGACTATCAGCTTATTTGATCTGTTGCTAACTGTCCTTTTTGTTCAGACACCTATTATTGCATCAGTCCTTTTTCATTTTTCTCCTGTCAAGACCACAGCAAAACCTCAACTCTCCACTTTCTCCGTTTCTCCCAACAGGGAGGTTTAGCGGCCATTTTCGGTGCAATTAAATGTTAGCCTTTATGCCTGCTGGCTATCGCTCCCAGGTGCTGGTCCTGGGAGGTCTGAGTGCAGACAGCTAATAGCCACCCTTTAGCCTGAGTCTGGCCAGCTGTTCCCTCTATAGACTGCACAGATGCCAGTACCTGCAATCATAACATTTGAAAGACAGGAAAAGTGTGTGACACACCGCTCAGAAACTCTCTTCTGTTCTCTTGGAAAAAAGACACTCAAAAATGTAATGATTGTTGGTATTTAAAAAAAAACTTTCCGATGGAATATAGCTACAATTTTAGCTTTTGTTGTTGTAAAATACAAGACACTGTCACCATTACAGACCTCTAAAAATCATTTTAATGAAAAAATACTCTTTGGTTAAACTGTTCAGAATTCACATCCACTTTAAAGGTACCCTGATGAGTTTAGTGCTAGGGAGTGCTTGTTTTTACAAATGGTCTCGTATTTCTATTTGTATCGTGCATGTGCATGTGCACAAGGCAACACAAAAGACATTACGCCAGTTTCATGCTATTCCACTGACTGAAAGTTGGTGGCGGTAACGTGCAAAAGAGCGTGGTAATGTGCCAACAAAGGCAGTGGAGAAGACATCTGCTGGCCAGCAAACATGGATGTAAACAAAGCCGATTTTAAAGTATTCACACAAATCATCTTTGCAAGACCTCAAGGATACACACAATGAGTTTTTGTAAGAAACACTGAATGTAAACTTAACTCCACAGGGTACCTTTAAGGTGTGGTCACAAGTAGACAATGCTTCATCTTAAAGAGCAGGGATGACACCTCGCCATCCCCCTTACTCGGTAGAAGATTCAGTAGGCCCTACCGTATATTTAACCCCTTAGCGCCAATTGACGCGAATTTGCATTACACTGCTTCAGACTGAAATAGCGTATGTAGTACCCCAACGCAGTTTGTGCATATTCGATACGAACCTAGGAACCTTTTGCAATCACTGGTTTATGCTGGTTGTCACTAATTTGCATCATACCTATATTTATATTCCATGTGCTATAGACAAATTAATATTCTCCACTTAATTTAGCATCTGCTTGAAAGCAAAAACACAAATAATTAATTTTTTATCTGTGCTATCTATTTGTGCAACCTGGACAAACACAATAATTCACCGTGATGAAAAACGATGAAATGCAACATAAAACTGCAGTAAAAAGACAGAGTCATTAAATTAAAACCCCTCAGACTCACTACCACCTGATACCACAGGTCGGGCTGAGGCAGAGAGAGGGACAACGTATCCCTACTCCACTAGGCTTTTTAGGAGCATTGCTGAAAACGGCTACTTTTTCCTCTGAATTTTTGCCCTTATGTCCTTTAAAACATAAAATTCTGCATTGACATTTGAAATGGTCATTTTCAGGAAAGGTTAAGTATAAATGTAGGTAAAAATTCAACCTGCAAGTTGCTCTTTAAGGGGTAAGGGGCTAAAAGGTTGGGAACCACTGCCTTAAAAAAGTAGAGACAGATGAGCACACTGCATATACAATTCCTACACCTTCATTTCCTG